ACCCGGGAAAATGCTCCAAAAGTGCAATTTCCTGTAAAACTCAACTAAAACCACGAAAACACTAGAAAACACAAATTAGTAATGAAAGTGGCCCTAAAGAGCCAAAAACACTACTAATTATGACCGTGGGACGGGGGTAAAACACTATATAAATTGGATATATCAATATGTTTGAAACAAAGAGCAATATGTCTAATGTTTGAAGTGGGATCTATTTGGTGACCTTCTGCTAGAACATATACTCTCCAAGAAATTGCAGCTCACCAAGTTCGGGATGACCCTTCGATGGGCGATTTGTTGTATTGGGGAGGCAGTGCTAAAGGTAAATTTACCATTAAATCTGCTTTACAAATTATTTGAGGGGAGGATAATGTGCCATTGGATGGAAGTTGGGATCTAGTATGGAGTATTTGAGTTCAGCAGCGAATAAAAGTTCTATTATGGCTTGTGTTGCATGATAGACTCATGACTAATGAGAATAGATTTAAGATAAATCTAGCGGATGATCCTAAATGCAAAGCATGACCAGACCATGATGAAACTATGCTCCATATGCTAAGAGATTGCAAGGTAGCACGGGATATTTGGAGACAAGTTGGAGGTCCTGCCAACTCTCCTCAATTTCGAACAAGCTCTTTGAAACAATGGATAGTGCGAAATATAAAAATTCAAGAGAGGAATGAATTATCACCAGAAATTTGGCCAACCTATTTTGCTTTGGTTATATGGTGGACTTGGAAATGGAGAAATAATGTTGTCCACAACCGTGGCGATGAGAATCCCATCATATAAGAGCTTTTTTATTAGCAAAGTTTGAAGAAACTTGGAGAGTTGTTGGGATTTCGAAAGCCCTCTAAATGCAAGATCGAGGCAACATGTTGAAGCTTATATTCGATGGCTACCCCCCTGTTGGATGGCTGGTTCTTAATACAGATGGAGCAGCAAAAGGGGCCCCTGGTCATGCTGGAGGAGGTGGCCTGATTCGTGATGCTACGGGTAAGTTAGCCTACGCTTTCTCTTTGAATCTTGGGGTGTGTAATGCTTTCAAAGCTGAAGCAAAAGATCTTGAATATGGACTAGAGCTGGCAGCAAGATTACAGCCCGGTAAACTTCAAGTGCAGCTTGATAGCCAAGCTTTGGTGCTAGCTCTACAAGGCAACCAGACGCATGTTGGCGAAACTACTCATATTATTTCAAAATGTAAGAAAATGGTCAAAGATGATAAGTGGCAAGTTCAAGTACATCATATATTATACACAGAGAAGCAAATAGAGCTGCAGATTGGCTGGCTAATCAAGGAGTCAATCAGAACAACCCTACGGTGTTGATTCAAGTCCCCCTTCTAGCCTTAAGGAGAATTTTACATGATGATGTAGTAGGTGTGGCTATGCCACGTTTAATTCCCCCTTAGTTTTGTTTTTTCTGGGGCTTTGCCCCTCGTGAGCACAAAAAAAAAAGGGATTTCAACAGTTGGTTTATACACAAAAATTAAGATGTCGTTTCATGCAATTGGGTTCTCCTTGGACCCAAATTGCATTTGAATAGTCTCGTCATTGTGATTAGGGAGTTGCACTTTGCTGAAGTCAATTAAATTGGGGCTTCACTGCAATTTAGATCTTCTCCGACCTATTTTAGTCACGAAATTAACTCGCAAGTCGCAACCAGCTCTGCTGCGTATATGCCGGGGTGGAATCACTCTAAGTTGTTGGCTGGGTTAGGCTCGTACCGACTTTATTTAATTTTCCGTTTCTGCAATTTTTGCATAATTACGATTTTGTAAAATTACAATTGCAATGGGATGATCTAAATTGCAATTGTAATTTACGTTAGAGCATGGTTAACAGTCAATTTCAATCCCGTTTTGTCTTGACTTTGGGAATCACAAGCTCTGCCTCACCCCGTCGTTGAGGAATCTGGAGAACCCGATCAACAAGCTCTCCTCCTTCTTCTCTACTCCATTTTTGTCAGAGTTTGAGATAGCAAGATACGAATTTGATGTCATGAGCGTACTTGGTGCATAGATCTGAAAGTGGTACAGCTGAATTGGTAAATTTTCTTATCTTGAAAACCCTAGTTTTTGCAAACCCTTTAATTGCGGACGATTTCCCTAGAAATTGTTTAATTATAAATTAATTCCCTAATTGCGTTGGTGTTAAAACTTATTCCCATGGTACTGTCCACGTAGGACTGGTACTGTGGACAGTACAAGGCTCGTTTTCTTTTTTTTATTATTATTTTTTATTTTTTAGTTCAGTAAAGAACCGCTAACGGTGATAACGATTCTATACATATAAACCGCTAACACCAATAGTGGTTCTTACCTAATTTTTTTTTGACAAACGGTTCTTACCTAATTAAATAATCTCTCTTACTTATAATATTATCTCACACTTACTTAATTTCTTCTGCCATATTTAGGCCCTGTTCTTTTGAGCTTCTGGGCAGAGCAGATTAAATTTTAGCCGAGCAGAGAAGATTTCTTTTGAGCAGAGCAGAGCCGAGCCGAGCAGAGCAGAGCAGAGCAGATTTCAACATTATTATTAATACTATTATTAATGGTGTTATTATTAATATTATTATTAATTTTACTATTATTAATGTTGTTTTTATTATTATTATCATTATTATTATTATTATATTATTATTATTATTATTATTATTATTATTATTATTATTACTACTATACTACTACTACTACTACTACTACTACTACTACTACTACTACTACTACTACTACTACTACTACTACTACTACTACTACTACTACTACTACTACTACTACTACTACTACTACTACTACTACTACTACTACTACTACTACTACTACTACTACTACTACTACTACTACTACTACTACTACTACTACTACTACTACTACTACTACTACTACTACTACTACTACTACTACTACTACTACTACTACTACTACTACTACTACTACTACTACTACTACTACTACTACTATTGATAATGTTATTATTATTATTATTATTATTATTATTATTATCAATGTTGTTGTTGTTGTTATTATTATTATTATTATTATTATTATTATTATAAATAAATGTGTATCATATTTAACATATGTTAATATTATTATTATTATAAATAAATGTGTATAATAAAAATAGCAACGCATTCCTTTAATTGAAATTAGTACATAGTAACGTAGAAAATGTGGCCAGTTCAAACAAACGATAAAACCAAATCCGATACATCATAAATCCGATATTATTATTTTAAGAACCTCTCATGGTTGGATTTTAAAATGTCGCCTTTCAACTAGGTAACGAATTCACAAAATACCGATGGATACATCAATTATCGCCTTTAATTAAGGTATTTGTCCCTCATGAAAAAAGTGACCGTATCTTCTCTACATGAGGTAATGGTTTCGTAAGGAATATTCCAGGTATATTTTTATGTTTCTGCAAAAATAAGATTTAATTTAGATAAAATGAATTTAATAAAGTAACCAACAATGTACCAATAATAATAAAAACTTGTTTAAAAATGTCATACCTTCACAAATAGCATCCACTTATCATCTTGTTCAATCAGAGGACACCCGGTAATAGAATCAAATTTAAGGTCAGTCCAAATGAGTTCCATCTCAGTCCAAACTTTGAATTTATTCCTCAAATCGTTCCAATGATTTGTTACTTGTTTGGTATTGAATTGCTTTCCACTTTTTACAATCAAAGTACTCACTATTCTATCACAATTAAGCTTTAAATATCCAAATTCTTTCATCTCCAAGCATATGTCCAACAATATCTCCGTAGATTCTTCAGACCATGCTACCCTACCAGCCATTACACTATGATAAAGAGCACTTTCGAATCAATATTTCATGCATAAATTATAGACATTAATGTTGAATTGGCACTAGGATTATAATCAAAAGGATTCTCATGAAATAAATGAACTAATGATAAAATATTAATTGTGCGTTACATTTTCATCGATGTTACTTGCATTAGGTCAATTGTTAAATTCATGAAATCAAATAAATGTATATTTTCCTACACTATTAAAAAACAATGGACAAATGATAAAATTAATGACGTAGAGTGTTGAAGTATTTACCTATGATGGAGATTATATTATAGACAAACAACCTATTGAAAAGATGAGGAGAAAAATATTGTAGGAACTTGATTTAGAGTGTGAAAATTATGACAGTAAGATGTTGTTTTATATAGGAACATAGAGGTGTTACCCATAGTAGTTTGGAATATTGAAATATGAAATATGAAATGATAATTTTCATTTCAATTTAGTCAACCAATTTACGTTACCAAAAAAATTGGAAACTTCTCTATAACAAAGACAAGTCAAATCTCTTTTTTCTATATAACAAAAAACTATGATAACTGTAATCTGTAATTTAGTTTTCTTAGGATCCCCATTTTAATACTTTCTTATAAAAAAATTCATTTATGATGTGGGATATTATAAATAATAAAATTATAAAATATTACAAGTTCATTACCTTCTACTATATGATAATATTAATACTTCTAGATTTCTTTTAAAATATTTGTAGGAAATAATAACAATTTTCCTAACAACAACAACAACAACAACAACAACAATAATAATAATAATAATAATAAATAATAATAATTAATAATTTATAATCAAAATAATTAATAATAATAACAAAAATTAATAATAATAATAATAATTAATAATTTATAATCAAAATAATTAATAATAATAACAAAAATTAATAATAATAATAATAATAATTAATAATTAATAATTTATAATCAAAATAATTAATAATAATAACAAAAATTAATAATAATAATAGTAATAATAATACCAACAATAATATTAATCATAAAAATAATAATAAAACATTAATATTGATTGAAATTAAAAGTAGAATATTGAAATAATTATTATTATTGAATATTAATTATTATTATTAGTAATTATTATTTGAAAATAGAGCAGAGCAGAGCAGCTTTAAAGAACGGGCCTTATACTACTATTATACGAAGAACAAAAAATCACCCAAACTCCACAGCGCGACCACCAAACTTCATAGCGGCGACCATCAGACACGACCACCACCGCTGTGGTTCACGGTGAAGTCCGTACGACCTCCACGACAGCGGTTCGGCGCCCATAATTTGTCCCAATTGTATATTTCTACCATCAATTGTGAGAGGTTAGCCCTAATTTTCCCTATTCATTTTGTGAATTGTTGACGTCGTTTGTTGCAATTGTTAAAGATATGCTTGTTCTGTGTCAAATACAGTCATTGGGTGGGTAAAACGAGGTTGATTTTATTGAATGTTCTTCTAATTAATCGAAAATGGAATTGGTATGGAGTGAAGCAAAAGGTAATTGGGAAGGGTCTAAATCATCGAAATGCTCTGTAATTGTGTTGGATTGCAATATTTTTGTTGTGTATGGACTGATTTCAAGTATTGTACTAGTTAATTTGGTTGTCGAGTGAATAATGGTGTTGTTGTGGGGGCAATTCGACATTGGGAGGGTTAGTGTATTTGTTGTTGTTCCAGTTGTTGATTTGAAATAGGAGTGAGTAAAGTGATTTCTGGTGGAGAAGTTGTCAATTTCAAATTTGATCTCTTTCATTGCTAAAAATTGCTTGTCAATTTGATCCTTTGTTGTTTCTAATTGTTAATTTAAGTGAAGTCTGCTTAAGGTATATATGTTCTCGATCTGTAGTGATGAGTGTTGGAAACTTTTTACCTTTGTTGCATCTGTTATTGAGTATGAACTGTTAATACCTTCCCCTCCCCCCCTCTCTCATTTTGAATAGACTGCATAATACAAATTTCCTGCTTTTTTCCTGGCATTCACATTCTAGTTTGGTAACCATTAATTAATATGTTTATATTGATGCATGCTCAGTTGTAAGTTCTCTCAGTTTGGTATCTGAAATAGGAGTGATTTAAGTGATTTCTGTTATAGAAGTTGGCAATTTTATGTATGGTTACCAAAATCTAGATAACTATTACCACATGTTCACATTCCTTGTACTTGAAGAAATTAGCCCCTTTTTTTTTGTTACAAACCCAGGAATCTTCCAAATCAATCAATCCAACCACATGTTCCAAACTTCTCTGTAGCTTTAATTTTCTTTTTTTCGAAAATGAGACAAGGTGACAATCAGTTAGTATGTGTTCATATTTGCTTCATTATGCATGAAAGAATTAGACGAAAAACTAGATGGAGTTGTGGATTCTTGTATATTTGATTGGTAGTTTGTTTTATCTAGTGTTTCATTGAAGTTTAAGTAGAACATCATAGGCTGATGCAATTTTAAGTCTGGCTATATACACACTACTTCAGTTTAATTCCACTATTCTAGAGATATAGGAGTTTTCTGACATTTTAGAGCAAAATAACAGGAAACAATATTTGAACTCTTAGAACTCAAAATATCTAATACTTTCTGCACTTCCTGCATATCAGAGTTTGCCTTGGTGTTGTGGCATGTAGTAGTAGTAGGACTATTGCTCTCACTGCTATCAGAAAAAGGTAGCAAGAGTTTTTTGCACAACACCGGAAGGCGATGAGACCGCAGTCGCCGGTGGAGTGACAAACTCCACCTCCCGGACATCAGACAATGCCATATTACCCAGCCGCAGAACTTCGGCCAATGGACCACCAGGTGTGGTGGAAGAATCAATAAGGCCAAGACCCATATGAATTTGGCACATTTCATCATCAATAACATTGGAATTGCCTCCATTTGATGAGGACAATGAAAGTTTACTACTTCCATTGTTCTTATTATTTCCTGCCGTACCCATTGACCAAGCATCAAACAAAGGCCTCTCTAATAAACCCAATTCATCAGATTTGGTAGGGTTGTAACCAGATTGAGAGTTCACATTCAAGGGCTTCCCTTCAAATTGTTGATGGAAAACACTGGAATTCATGTTTGTCTGCACTAATTGATTCCATTTTTGCTCATTATTCCAACCCAAATTCCTAAAAAACAAGAAACAAACATAATTTAGCATAACTTAAAAAGTTGAAAACCAAATTAAATGTGAATAATTAGACAAAAAAAAAAAAAAAACAAACATAATAATCATGTTCAAGAAAACCCCACCTAGAATCCTCAAAAGGGTTAGCAGGAGAAACCAAGGAATGATCAAAGATAGAAGCTTTAGAACAAGACGGGGACATGAATATAGTAGGGTTTATAGAGAGTTTTATATGCTCTCAGCAGGGTTTATACCTCAGAAAAATTTCCAGTTCTGCATATTTTGCGCTTCCAGTTTGTACTCCCCAATGAATCCATTCTTTCTGCCAACCAATCCCTGCATAGAACTTCCTATCCACATTAAGAACACGTTAATTCCAACTACAATTTATATCAATACATTGTCATTGTGCTAGTTCAATCCCATGTACTGCCATACTCAATTTCAACCTTACTCACTGCCACCTATTTCAGTCGATAGCAATTCATTTCACTACAAAATTTAATTTATCAATTCACTTAGCAACAACAATACTGGGCGCAATCAAATTACTACATTGTCAACATACCATTTCAATCCCAATTGCAACAATAGTCATTGCGACCGAAAATGCGTGAAATCCCTTTACACCATCATTGCACAATTTAATATATCAATTGCGCAAATTAATCTACAGCACATACAGCAACAATTAAACACAGTTATACCCATATCAATTCAATTCTTAGCAATCATTGCGCAATTCAAACACATGAACAATTTAAGGCACACTCTACTGAAAACCCCGATGAAAAAGGTCTTAATTGGGAGGATATGACACATACCTTTCGAAGCCCTAGCTGTACATTCCTCAATCGCGGCCCCGAGGTCTCCGCCTCCACCTCCACCTCCTCAACTCTTTATCATCGGTACAGCAATTTGACGCCTCAACAATTACCTAGAGGTTACGCATCTTCACCAAGTTACTGCTACCTCCATTAACAGGAGCTAATGTTGGAAAGGCAAAATTACTCTGAAGTGCAAAGGGGTGAACAATGGGGTCATGTAACACACTAACTCACTGACTATGTAATAGAATAGAAATTAGCAATAAAGATGCAATTTTTATGAGGGAAGAAAGCTGTTGATTGATTGATTGAATGCAAAAAGATGAAATCTTGGACATATGGTGGCTTCAGGCCACTACTCTCTAGGGATTACCTTGAGGGTACGACTCTCCTTAACCTAGTGTTTACCAATTGACTGCCTAAGACAACACACTCTCCCTTCCCCTTATATTTACATAACTAGCCAAAAAACAGAAGAAACAAAATGGCATATTGCAGCTGTCACATCCTCAGAGGATGATGCTACATTGCTCACTGATTGGTAGGTTGATTTGGTGGCTTTCCCTGCTGTGCTTGTGGCTGCTGTATTTGTTGTATTTGTTGTGCTTGTGTCAGCCCCCTTTTCTGTTATGAATTGGGTACATGGAGTCAACACCGCAAGTCAACCACCACTTTTGGTGTATACGAGGAGAGCTAAGAAGGGGCAGCAGGGGTCAAGAGAAGTCAGCAGCAACAAGGAGCAAAATGCCAAAGCTAATTAAGGAGAAATTATGGAAAGGAAGCAGCCCACTTTAATCATGCTTCTTCTGGGTTTCTACTTTAGTTAATTAATTTCACATGTATGATTTAAGTCTTGAGTATATGTATGGTAGTAGGAGGAGTAAGGGGGGTATCCAGAAATTTGTGAGTTAACACTAGAGAGAGACTTGTAGCCTCAAGCTACTAAGGGAGATTCATAACCTCAAGTTATGCCTATCAATCTGTAATCGTTCTTCAATCAATCAAAAGTACTCAAGCTTTCATCTTTAAATTAATATTCAAGTGCGCTAATTACGGTGACCATACTCAGTACATAACATTTTCCCCCTAGTTGGTAGTAATCCAGCCCTTGTGCTTGGTCTTTCCAGCATTCGTTACAGGTCAATATAATTATGAACGGGGTCAAACATTTTTAAATGGACGTTAGTTTGCAAAGAATAAACGCCGTTAGTCTTCAGTTAAGGTGATAATTCCCTGTTGACGACATTACCCTTACTAAAGCTGGCGAAATGACGCGTATAACCTCATATCAACGCAGCTCGTTTATATGGCATATGAACCAAGATTTTCTCCATCTCTGTATCACGAAGTCACTCTTCTAAATGTTGAATTCGTGGTGTGTGTGTGTGTTTTTTTTTTTTTTTTTGAATAATTGTTAATCTAAATATGAAATCTGATTTATATATAAAGATTTGATTAGTCTATATTAGTTAGATAGAATTAATGTCTTAGAATTTGTTAATTTAAATGGCAGAGTTGATAATTGTAAGATAAGAATTGATAATGTGTTCATTCTTTGTTATTTTGTTTTGCTATGTGATGTGGAGTGGTTGATAATTGCTCAAAGCTGGATTTATTTGCTGCTGTTGATAATCTGTTGTTTGTTGTATGATGGCAGAAATGATAATTGTTAGATAAAAAATTCGTCGGATTAGAGTCAGAGGTTGGATATTGAAGTCGGATTGGATTCGGAGTTGCGGAGTAGGATTCAGAGTCAGATTTAGCCTCCGACTTCCTATAGGATGAGCTGCCGTCAAAGGAGCACCAAACCGGCGCAACCGCCAACAGTTGTCAGCGGCCACCCACCATTTTCATCTTAAACCTTAGAATTTTCCATCAATGGCGGCCTTGTGTCGTCTCTCCCGCTCCAGCCGTAAACTCCTCCCATTTTCTCTCTCTTATCCTCATCTCCTCTGCCCATCATCATCTACTTGCCCCAACGCTAACCCCTATCATAAACCTAACGATATTTACAAAACCCCTGATTTTAATTTCAATTTCAAATTGAATTTTTTGGACCAATTTACATTATGCCAGAAATCGTTTTTCTATGCTTATTCTACGGTACCTCAAGGGTCACGATTTGCGAATTTTGGCAAAGAAGACGATGATGATCAGTTGAAGTTGAAGACAAAGACTGAGACTTCATGGGTTGATTTGTATTTGCCGCGTAGTGCTCAGCCCTATGCTAAGCTGGCTCGGTTAGATAAACCTATTGGTACTTGGTTGCTTGCCTGGCCATGTATGTGGTAAGAGGTTTTAATTGGAATTTGGTCAATTTTAAATGCATTTATAGTTTAATTTTCGGTGATTTCATTGTTTTTGATTTTGTATGATTAGATTACATAATTGGTCTCTAGTAAATAATAGGGGGTTGTTATCTATATAGCACGGAACAGTACCGAAGAGCCCTCCCATGGATGGTGATACTAAATAAGTAGCTATTATATGTACAATTTGTAAAATTCAAATAAACTACTCATTGAAACGAATCAAATAAAACTCAACATGACTATGTTAATTTTTTATATATTGAGATTAATTTAGTAGATTATCTCAATTTATGAATTATGCCAAGATTCTATATGGGAACAACAAAAAGAATGCATGCTTCATGGTTAGAAATTTAGAATGACATAACTATTAGGAATATTTGTCAAATGTAGCTTGTAGATGAAAATATATAAAATAAAAAAGAGGGATAAGGTAGTAAGAGATGATGAAAGGAGAGAAGCATTGATGGGACGACGAGAATGGGGAAAAAATGCATTATCAATTTTAACTTGAAAAGGTAGTGTAAACTTTACATTGGGGCAATCATAAATTGTACATTGGAAACTCATTAGGGACAAAGGGATTTTTTGTGAAAAAATTGTAGTAAATAAAATGCCAATATATTATGCTATCTCCTGCAAATTAAAAGGATAGTGGCAAAGCATAGTTTGTCTACATATCTGAGGTGGGGAAATGAAGGTGGCTGAACTGTGCTAGGATGTGATGTCAGATATTAGAAATTATTAATCACCATCTAGGTGATCTTAAGCTCATGAGGAAATAAATTGTTTCCGGCTACTGTTCTATTGCAATGCTCAGATCCCAGCTTTATAGTGGTATTATATTTCTGATGGCTTAATCTTTTCATTTATGAGGTTTATGCATCCAGTTTACTATCATGAAAGCATTAAACCTTTTCAAATGAAATATAAAGAACAATGTTGAGTCTGGACTTGCTCCTTGAGACCTTGACTTTACTTATTGTCTTGAGCTTAGGGCTTGCATGCTTTACTGTATTTACGAAATTTATTAGCTACAATATAATTGTCAATATTTTCATTCATGATTAATGAAACATCAACTTGGCATCTTTACCATTTTCTTTTGGCTCTAAGGTCCATTACCATGGCAGCAGAGCCAGGAAGCCTTCCCGATTTCAAGATGCTGGCTCTGTTTGGCTGTGGGGCTTTTCTCCTACGGGGTGCTGGTTGTACTATAAATGATCTCCTTGACCAAGATATTGATGTGAAGGTAAATTCTTCATTTCTGCTATGTTTGCGTATATTATAGTCATTTACTGATCATCAATTTTCTTTTTCTTTGCAAATGTTTACATCTGTTATTCATTAAAAATGCAGTATGATGGTATACTAAATAGGGTTCAACTAAGCTTATACTAGACAGAACTGTTTGGATGTTAAATTTCTGTATTCACATGAGTATTCTGTACTCTACCCCTATCAATATTTAGCTATGGTCTGGTTTAGTGCAGAATGTACCCCCTGTTCCCCATTTCAACCTTTTTCAGATTCTGTTCCCCGTAGTATCTATCTTCTGATCCTGTGTCAATATTTAATCTGTTTTTGATTTGGTATCCTTTCAAGTATATTTTATGAATGTATGATGATGATGAAACATGCTTAGATGCTTTCTATAAATTTGAAAGAATTTTAGTCTGCTTGTGTGTTCTAAATAATCATGTGAGTGATAATGTAATCTAACTAGTAGGGAGCTGCAGTAGAATTTAAATATAAGGGTCTTATGTAATGAAATTTTCGATTAGATTCACTGTGCTCTTTTTTTTTTTTTTTTTTTTTTTTTTTTTTTTTTTTTTTTGTGATCGAATTTGGTTGTTTATCATGGAGGAGCGTGTATTTTTGAATTGCTGTTTTCATTGTGAATAATACCGCCCACAACTAGGATCGGAATCATTAGCTTAGAATTAGACTTTATTTGGAGCTGAGTGGTTGTTTATTGTATATTTATATTTGGTTGTTCATTGTGATAAATTTACTCATGATTTTATATTTCTAGACATTTGGTCAACTGGTTCAATTTTGGAGAATATCCCTTTTGTTATTGATGTCTACACCTTTTCTTCATTGCCAATCCTCTGCAATGAATGGAAATTCTGTTTTCAGGTGGAACGTACTAAGCTACGACCAATTGCTAGTGGTCTTTTGACTCCATTTCAAGGGATTTCCTTTCTTGGTGTACAACTTCTATTGGGTCTCGGAATTCTCCTTCAGCTGAATGATTTCAGGTGAGCTCTGTATCATTTCTGCTCTGAACTAAGATAAATGATTGACCTAACTCTGCTCCAAAATTAACTGCTATAAAAAGGAGTTGCCAATGCTATATAATTTGATCATACATTACATTAGTGTTACAGAAATGGCCAGTTTGGATAACTCTTTAACCCTTTCCAATCAATGGAGTTTGGTTCCTGTGCACTGAAAAAAGCTAGCTATGAAGTAGTTTTGAGCCTAATAATTGTTTCAACTAAATTTGGTGCTTAGTTTGTGGTTACATCATTGCAGGGATATGACTAAAAAGTTCATTTTACTTGCATTTTCTGGAATAGTGTAAAACATTATTTCTAAATATTCTGAAGAGTGAACTTTTCTGTTCTTGAACTACAATGTGAATAATTAAACTAGATAAAGTCGAAAATGATTATGATAAAAAAAGTTTTGAACTCTATATATGTAGTATATCTTCATGCTTATACACTCTCTGTTTGATTAAACATCAGTGTTTTGACATTCATTTATCAACAGCCGCATTCTGGGAGCTTCATCCTTGCTTCTAGTTTTCTCATATCCCCTTATGAAGAGGCTGACATTTTGGGTAATAATATTGTGAAGCATTTTATTACGTTTTTCTTTGTCCTTGCTTGTAAACATCATGTTATTCCCTACTGACATGTCTGGAATATGTAATTGTGGAGTTACAGCCCCAGGCATACCTTGGATTGACGTTTAACTGGGGAGCGCTTTTGGGATGGTCTGCTGTCAGAGGAAGTTTAGACCCTTTTGTAGTCCTTCCATTGTACTTGTCTGGTGTTTGTTGGACTTTGGTCTATGATACTATCTATGCACATCAGGTACTCTCTCGGAGATTCTTCTCAAATATTATAACATCTTTAGTTCAAATGACATAATCTGCTTTTATACCTAGCATTTGATAATAGTAGTGTGGTGACCTCTAGAGAAAAATTAAACCTGTTTTCTTTCAAGTTTTTGGTTGATCTTCAAAATCATAGTTGTTTATTTATATTTTTGGAAGGATTTTTACACTTTTACCACCAAGAAAAACAAGAAATTGTTTTTTACCACCAAAACTTCTAAAACTTTTATTTTACCACCAAAAAAAATCTAAAAATTATTTTTTACCACCTACCGTCAAGAAAACCGTCAACTCTTAATGGTTATTAAAACAAATTCTTCGATTTTCGTGTGTAAAACATGTTCTTTACCGGTATAAGGGGGCATTTTGGTACCATGGGTCCAATTTGAGGTCAGGATAGAAAAAAATGATCGGAAGTGCCTCGTTTTGCGTGTTTCATGCAAATCAAGGTATTTTTTAGTAGGAAAAACAAGGCATTTCCAATCATTTTTTGTCAATTCCTACCTAAAATTGGATCTATTGGGCCAAAATGCCCCCCCCAAAACCCCTAAAAATCATGTCTTTGGCACGAAAATCAAAGAATTTGAAAAATTCCGTTAGGCTTACCGGTTTTTTTAAACGGCAGGTGGTAAAAAACAATTTTAAATTTCTTTTTTGGTGGTAAAATAAAAGTTTTAGAACTTTTGGTGGTAAAAAACAATTTCGTGATTTTTGTTGGTGGTAAAAAATAAAAAATAAAAAAAACTTTGTAGTATGTAAATTAAAAGGTCTTTGATTAATGTCTTGAGAATCAAACCCTTTGAAACTGTAAATTACTGCAGGATAAAGAAGATGATCTGAAAGTGGGTGTGAAATCTACGGCCTTGAGGTTTGGGGACTTAACAAAGGAATGGGTCACTGGGTTTGGAATTGTAAGCATATGCAGCCTTGCTCTCAGTGGATACAATGCACATTTGGGTATGTGTGTCTCATAGTTTTCTGCTCATGGTTTCGAGTTGTTGGTTTTTATATATTTGGGGTTATAGTTTATAGGATTTTACTTTAAAGCTATTTGCTTTTTTTCTTCTGTTGGAACTACAGGATGGCCATATTTTGCATGTTTGGCTGCTGCATCTGGGCAGATGACGTGGCAGATCTATACGGTTGACTTGTCTAATCGTGCTGATTGTAATAGAAAGTATGTTCTTATCCCTTATAACTAATGGCTGATTTTACTATATTACGCTTCTGAATTGGTTATGATGTTCTAGGTATTGTGTCAAACAAAGTTTCAAATGCAGTTATAATTTGCAAAGAACTAGGGATGGAGTAATTGAGTGCTATTATGGACCAATGTTTAATTGTTTTTCATATTATACTTGACTAATGCCCAAGGACGAGCAATTTGTGATAAATTTGTCATCCTTAGAATTTTCTGATGAATGTTCTAAATTTCCAACCAAATATTGCTTTTTTTTTCTTTTTTTTTTTTTTTTTTAAGTTTTAAATTTATAATGATGGAACTCACAGAATATGTTAATAGACTGCCACCACTCCTTCCATTCCAGAGTTTAAGGTTTAATTTTATTTTATTATTGGGATTGACCAAGAGCTAAGCTATCTTACTGTTTTCGATAAGTTTTCTCTCTACCTTTTCACTAACGTTGTAGTTACACAACTTCAACATCCATGTTTATCCCTCTCTCCTCTTTAATATCATTGCCCTTGAGTAATGTCGATTTAGCTAGTTAGTTCTGAGACAACGGGAGTTATTCATTAACTCCTAGTTACTTTGTTTTTGTTACTGTGCACCTCCCCCCCCCCCCCCCCCTCTCTCTCTCTTCTCCGCAATCCCAACACACACACAACTTCCTTTCTACCCTTTTGCCTGCATGATCACATCATGGTATTGATTTGTCTGGTATGTAGTTGCCATATTGAATCATAATTTATTGGATAAGATGGGCATATTGTTCAAGATGTAGTAAATGCCAATCTATGGTTTAATAAAAGACACTACATTGAACTGTCAATTGTTAAAAAAGATCCTAATGGGGTAGTATAAAAACTGCATGTAACTTAAATCATGTTTAGGTCATGGAAAAGAATACTAGTGCATATGCATGTAAAAAAACATACCAACAAATTGTTGGCTCACTTGGTAAGGTTCTTACCTCAATCTTTTAAAGGTTTGTGGTTTAAATTCTTCCAAGTGAGGGTACTTGGGGGGTAAGGACTCCCTTATCCTCCCCTCTACTCTCTAGTGCTTGGCCTATGGAACAAAAAAAACTTTGAGGATTGACTAGTTAGGGTCCTTTTTACAACAAGAATAGCTAAGCCTTAGTCCCAACATAATTTGGGGTCAACTAACATGAATCGTCATATAAAGAACCGTACGATATAAAGAAAAGGACTAAGGTCCTCCTTACCATTAAAAAAATTTGTAAAGATTATGATAGTATGATGAAAGATTGAAAGAACATAGTCTAGGTGTTGAATGTGATGCTTTTGCATCATAAATGCATGTGTTTGTTTCTCATTCTTGAAATTTGCATGCATTGTGAACTTGTCCTCAAAAATAATATATTTTGGTCTGGTGAAGCTGTGAAACGCTCATGTTATCTTAGTTAATTCCATAGCAAACTTCTGCAGCTGTGCTCATGTTATAATATACCTTTTCCTTCTGAATTATCAGGTTTGTTTCAAACAAATGGTTTGGCGCTCTCATCTTTAGTGGCGTTTTGTTTGGAAGACTGGCCTCATAGCTGTTATTATAGAGGTCTTCTAGTCTTTCATTTCTGTTGTAAGATTTTTATCAGAGGCATTCTCTTGTGAATTGAGAATAACCTTAAGAAGGTGACTGGAAATGGCAATGATTGGCACTCCTTTTATACCAGTTCTCTCCTTTTGGATTCTTCCAAGGTGCTTCGTACGAAAGGTTGTGGTTCTTTCATGGATTCTTGGGCATTTCACAAATCCATGCATGCATCTGAAAGTTCTAAGACTATACACATTACAAAAGGTTATGAGATGAATATGTGGTTCAGCCTTTCTAGTAAACTTGTACCCAAGCATATTAGCCATCCTGTTGAGTCTTTGAATCGGGGTTTTACATTAAAAAAAGGCAGCCTATATCCCCATACCAATTTTGGCCCGATGAAGCATATATTGCTCTGATGGAGGTACTAACTACAGTTTTCATTCTTTATCTGCTTAAACAAACAATGTCATAGCTGTAGCCATGGTGGATTTCAGCATGGCTAGTAATCTGATATGCCATGCTGAAAGCATGTTCAAGCTCCCCTTACGTGTATATTTTGTCCCCGTAGCATATGAAGGTGCTAAGCAACATTCAATCTATATATTTGGGGATATTCCCATAAAGTTTTTGTTCTCTTGTTTTAGGCGGTCCAAAACCACCACAACATTCATGAGGCAACCAACAATAACCTGTAATATAGTTTCGATTGTACACAATTACAATCCTGCAGGGGTCTTTCCCTAGCAAGCACGTATGCAAAGCTATTAGTATGCATTTTATTCAGATTTATTATTCATATATTTGCACAATCATCTTTATTTTGATTTTCTTTTAGGTTCATTTAGTGCATCAATTATTCAAATTTGCCGCGCTTTGTTTTCCTTATTATTTTGCTCCACCATAGACAAACAATTATTAAGTGCTTGTGTATTTAATATAGGAAATAGATATATGAGCTATTGTTTGGTCCTGTTCCCTCCATCTTAAAAAAATAAAATTTTCTGTTCAGCAAAAATAATTTTAGTTCAGTAAAAATAATTTTAGTTAAGTAAAAATCAATAAACTTCCACTATTTCTTCTTTGGTAGAATTTGCTAACCCAAGGTTAGAAAATTTTGTTATACCAGGAGCACCGTATACCCAACTAACTTAAGTTTAGTTTTTTCTTTTCATTTGATGATTAAATAAAAAATAATTATCAAAATAAGAACAAAATACTCACGAGTGTATGATATACCCAGGTGTATAAAACAACCTCTCCAAGGTTAGTGTTTGATCTTTATTTGATGATTTTATAAAAACAATCATCGAACAAGATACTTGTGGGTATATAATACACTTGGGTATATATAACAAGCTCTCTTTTTTTGTTGACACTTTATTTAGTAACGCTTGTTAATAGAGGTGGGCAACGTGTCGTGATGGGTCGCTGCGAGACGTGCCTCGTCGTGCATGGTGGTGGCCCGTGCCTGCAACTTGGCGTGTCGTGCCGAGCCACCATTTAACACACCCCAGCCCACACGCTTGGCACGTCGTGTCGTGTCAAACACCGGGCCGCCCATAATTTTTTTTAACCAACTTTTAAAATGGATATACTATTTAAATAATTTTATTAATTTATGTTTATGTTTATGTTTTTTTTATTATTATATTATTATTGTTCTTTTTATTATTCTTATTTATTTTATTTTATGGTTGTGCCTTGGGGTTCGTGTCATGCTCGTGCCGGATTCTTGAAATCGTGTTCATGACACAGCCCACGGCCCACTCGTCTGTCACCGTGCCGTGTTGTGCTGTTTTTGGGCTCGTGCTGTGCCGGGACGCAATTGCTTATATACACCTTACTGCAACTATTTCTAGCTGCGTACCTAGGTTAAAACGACAACGTTTAATGTTGTCAAGACATTCTCAATGTTTCTAAGCTCCCATTCTCCTTCTCCTTATCTTTCTTCTCTCTTTTCCTTTCTCTAGAACACAAATTAAAACAATTTCTAATTCAATTGCATGATTTGCAACCAATTTACATAATTACATATAAAAACGAAATTCAAAAAAACATCATCTAGATCCAAAAAAATTGCCGAAATTAATTTTTTAAAAAAATAAATTCTTAGTTTAATTTGTAATAGTAGATGATATAATGGTTCTTGATCTAAATAATGAAACTGAGCTCTCGAATTCTGATCCGATTTTGCTAGTGATCTAAACAACGATTTGATGAGTTTTACTTACAAGAGAATAAATGGAAAGGAGGGTGAGTTTTATTTATTTATTTTATTATTTTTAAAGTAAGTGAGTTTTACTTATTACCTCAAGTTCATTTACCACTTCGTATTTAACTTGAATATTCTTGGGCAAGAGAATAAGTGGAGAAGGAGGTAATGACAGAGAAAATGGTGGGAGGGCATGTGACTTGGTGACTGCCCTAACAGGTGAGGATGAGGAGAGAGAAAATAGTGGGAGGATATGGTGAGGAATGAGGATGAGGAATTGAGGAGAGAGAAAATGAAAGAGTATTTTATCATAATAATAATCTCCGTAATTATTATTAACAATGGTTTGTTTTTTATCTTTATGAATTAATTTGGTAATATGAATTGCATTTTCTAATAGTACCAATTAATTGTAAATTCACATGTGTTTATTAATTAATATATGTTTAAAAAATATGAACACTAACAATTTTTGAAATGAACATTAACCAAATTATAATTTACATTCTTTTTTGGACTTCAATTTTTGCTTGTGTTTGATCAACCGGTGGTTGTCCAAAAGTGCTTATATTTGCAGCTTGTTTATCTTTGGAGTAACATGTTGTCCAATAGTGAGCATTAAGAGATTATGAACAAAAAGTATATGAAGTATGAAGATAAGTATGAACAAAGTGTATATATAAGCTTTTATTCAAAAAAAAAAGGTGTATATATAAAAGTATGAACAATGTGTATATATATAAGCTTTTATTCAAAAAAAAAAAAAAGGTGTATATATAAGCTTTAAATCATGAACATAAGCATAAATAAAATGAATACCATAATACTGCATGATAAATTAGCAAAAAATAATGAACATAAAGATTTCAGGAAGTGAACATACGCATTAAAATAATGAGCATATAGTCATATATGCTTTTAATAAATCTAAATTAAACCATGAATAAAAGGAAACATATTAAAGATTATGAATATAAAGATTTCAGAAAGTGAACATATTGTTTATGAATATAAAGGTTTGGAAAATAAACATAAGCATTAAGTACATATTTTTTATGAATATAAAGTTTCTCAAAGAATGTATAAAAGAAAACAAAGGTTATGAATAGAAAGTTTTGTAAAAATGAACATAAGAATTAAAATAATGAACATATTTATTTTCCCGATTTTCCTTGTGTTGTTCTCCAACTTCCTTCGCTATCTCATTCAGTTTTTTTTTTCCCTCTACAATTAGACTTTTCACATCATTTTTTTTAATTAGATCTTGAACATTTGACTAAGTGGGCTATTCAAGTTAATTAGGTTTTTAAGTTAAAACAAAAATAATGTAGATCAATTATGTAACAATAAATTAAAAAATTAATTTTGATTTTCATTAGTTATTGAAGTACTTTTTTTTTTATTTCTCAAAAAAAAAAAAAGTGAAATGGGGGCGTCATATAATCTCTTTTTTTTGTAGATTTCATTTACGATTTCAAGAAATTTCAATAAAAGTATAGTGCATGTTACTCAAAATTAATAGAGTATCTAACTATTCAAACAAAAGTAATATTGCCACTTAATATTCACATAAATTAATAGAGTATCTAACAATTCAAACAAAAATATCTAACAATTAATATTCACATAAATTTACTTTTAATTGGGAGAATTTATTTTATTATTCTTCTTCTTAAACATTCATGGTGATTTTCCAGATTAGTGAGAGACAAAGATAGAGAGGAGAGAGAATCAAAAGCGTAGAAGTAACATTTCAGAAGTGTAAAAATGATTGTTTTTTTTTGAACTTTTATTTTTTAAAATATTAATATGCCAGTTGAACAAGGCGAAGCATGAAAAATTCGTGGGATGGGCTGCGTTTTATTGGGGGCGAAAATTTATGGGCTGTGTTTATAGTGTTGGATGCGAGCAAATTTTTAGCTGGTCTCGAGTCCAGCCATTTCAGGTTGGTCCCTCATTTTGAAAATGAACATTTTCTTGCTATAGGTTTTTTATTCTTACAAAATTAACAAAATTAAATATTCACTTTCACATCATCAAATGTTCATTCTTATAATGTTAATGTTCACAATTTTATGTCATCGTCTTCCTCCAAATCCACCACCATTTTCTCTCTCCAAACATTCACCCTAAAATAACAGGCCACTACGAGCCACATCCTCCGCTATATCACAAGCATTCACCTCTTGAACTCCGCCATTGATGTGAGAGGTGTTCACAATTTTTTTGTCATCGCCTTCCTCCAAATCCATCACCATTTTCTTTGTCCAAACCTCCAAATTCATCCTAAAATGGCAGTATCACTACGAACCACATCCTCTGCCATAAAACGAGCAGTCGCCTCTAGAACTCTGCCATTGATGGCGGAGCTCGAAGGTCGTCGACGTGGTGGGATCATGTGGATTCGGCACCTTAAGACCCTATTCTTGGTGTCAACGAAGCTTTCTGGGCCAATACTTCTCTTAACAAAATCAATGGTTATTTTGTACGAATAAACATTGTATTACATGAAAATGAACATTTATTTTATCAGAATAAACATCATACTACATGAAAATAAACATTTCATAATTTAGATATACAAAATTATTGTAAAATACGTTCAGTTAGAAAATGTCATTTTTGTTATTGTAATTTGTAAATGTTCATTTTTAAACGAGGGACCATGAATATGTACCTGGTCTCAAGACCAGCCTTCAACAACTGTTGGATGCGAGTATTTGGGTCTGTTGTAGCTAAGATGGCCGCACAAGGGTGTACCCAAGACCAATTGGTGATGGGCCAATCTCGTGCCGCCCGCGGGTCGACACGGCCCATGCCCACCTCTAATTGTCAATATACAAATCAATCATTATATCTTTAATTATCGATAAGTAAAAGGAAAAATTAGAAATAATAATCCCAACTTTCATCAATTTTAGTAGAATAATCTCAACTTTAGATTATACTGGAATAATTCGAACTTTAGGGGGTCTTCTTTTTCTTCAATCCCAAATACCGGTTACCGGTTGAATGGGTTTTTTTTTTTTTTTTTTTTTTTTTTGGGTTAAAGTGACACGTGTTACGTAGTAATTGGCTTACAAAAATTTACAAAAAAAATCCAAAATTAACAAAAAAAAAAAAAAAAAAAACCACCCAAAAAAAACCCAGCAATCCCCCACCCCACGCACCGGAAAAAACCCCAACAATCACCGGAGCCCCCAACCCCACGACTGCCCTCTCCCTCTTTCACCGGAAAAAAACCCACGCTCCGACCTGAAACCTGACCCTGACCCTCCCCTCCTCGGAAAACACCATCTCCACCATCTGACACGCTCATTCCGAAATCCATAACTCCAGCCCGACCCATTTTCGCAACTCCAATCTTCAATTCGTGAATCAGCGGCGCATAGGGAGGGGGTATTAGCGACGCATGGGGAGGGGGAATTAGCGGTGTACGACGGTAATTTTTGGGGTGAAATTGGGAGGGCTTGGTTGTGGTTGACGGAAAATCGAATTGGAATAGGAGGGATTGGGGGTGGAGGTGGGTCGCAACACTGGCACAGGGGGGTAGGGGGAAAGCGACGCAGCATTTGGGCAGGGGAAGGGAGTGGTTTGCGCGACGGCTGGCGGCAGGTGGTGGTGGTGGTGAGGGGTTACGGTGGTCTAGTGAGGGTTATGGTGGAGGTTACTGTTGTCTGGGTTTTTTTTTTAAAAAATATTTTTTAATTTTTTTTGGACCAATTATAACTTGACACGTGGCGCATAACTTGTTATAACAGGTCATTGACCTTTGTCGACCCGTTTGGGATTGAAGAAAAAGAATACCCCTAAAGTTCGGATTATTTCATTATAATCTAAAGTTGAGATTATTTTGATGAAAGTTGGGATTATTATTTCTAATTTTTCCTAAGTAAAATTATAAAAAGTTAGATTTTGTTAGATTTAACAATCCGTAATACTCCCACAACAATTTCCGACCATACGAGTAGACCAGTGTAGCACCTGTTTCATCACCAGATAACCATCCTTCCCGCCATTGCTGAAGCTGAATTCCAAATTCCAGCCAAATGACTTCAATTTCTCTTTCTATAATCCCATTTTCAACAATAAACAAATCAACCTCTAATCCCTTTTCAAATCCCCCAAAATTCCCGCTTAATTGTTCATTAAATTACCCTTCACAACCCCAATTTCAATTAGGGTTTTGGGTGAAAAATTCTCGATTTTCTCCAAATTCTTCCATCAATGGAGCAGACCCACTTGGCTCAGTTGAGGTTCTTAGGGTTCCTGATCATTGGTTGGAACCTTCCAGAGCTATTCAGGTAATCCTTATCACCTCAAATTCTAATTATTTGTGTATATTATTTTAATTATCACGTTTTAATCCTGTGTATAAGACTGTATATTATGGCCCTGGTTTAATTTCTTGAAAATTAATGTTGAACCCATTTTAATTAATTGTTGATAGAATTTTTCGGAACGAAACTTTGCGTTCCTGAATTGTTGATTGTAATGATTTAAGATGCAAAATGAGTAATTATGTATTGCGCATTTTTGAGTTATTTTTTATTCTTATTGGTAACTTTGGATCAAAATTTCTTGCTTTACTTTAGCTGGGTTTTAATTGTCATTGATGAATATAAATTCTGGTTATTCAATTAGTTGTGCGTTTGTGCTTGATATAAAGGTGAAGTACCTTACGTCGTTCTTAATGTAGAAGTCACGAGTTAGAATGTATCCTTTCCGTATAAGAATGGGACTGAGTGAGGTTCATTTTGTTTCTAAACAGTTGATAACATCCTTTGGTTTATTGTTAATATGTACCATTTTCGACTTTTATGATGTCGTATAGTATTAGGTAATAGAGATACTCTATTGCATTCAGTGTCTCCCTTATGCGTGCCCTAAACATTTCCTTTAATTGCCATTCAATCACCGCATCCCCAACAAAGATGTGATTAATCATAAATAATTAATTTTATAGTGGTGATCAGTCAAGGTGAGAAGAGATTGGATGCATGATAGAAAACTAGATGTGACAAAGGATCCAGATCCTGTATATCTGGTTTTAAGGTGTATTGTGTTTTTTATTTTGTAGACTTGTAGTTTAGGCATTGACTGATCGACAGGCTAGCAGTATTTTTCGAATGGTCTGGGTTCCTGAACTCGTAAGAAGTCAGGACTTTTCCCCGAGATTGTTAGCCTTACTTGAGAGGCTTTCTTATGTCTATAAGAAGTGATTTGGGTTTTCACTTTTCACACCTATGCATTTTGTGAAAAGGTGGTCTTTGTGGATGAAAAACGGTCCAGAAAATTCAGAAAGGGGGTTGTCTAAAGGGCTCTAGAAAGACCTCTATTCTTTCTGTGGAGGGAAGGGATTGTGTTTTATGTTAAGGGGTGAGAGAGAGACAAAAGAATTGTTTTTGACCCAATTTCTCACTTGGTAGCTGGAGGAAAGACACAGGAATATAGGAGAAAAAGGATATTTGCATCAACTAGTAAATTGTCTACAGATAAAGTATTTATGGGGTTTTGGTCTTTCCAGTTTCTATTTTGCCCTAAACAGCTTGGCACTAGGTTTATACATAGAAGTAATGGTAACGATTTTTGCTTGTACCTTTTACAATGATTTCCCTCAGGGGATAACGAGTGGTGATATAACCGAAGAAGAAAAGGTGGAAATACTCATAATATGGACTTCAAATGCATCTTTGTGAAGATCCGTGGGATGTACGTAATTATGTACAACACCACACACAAACTCGTTGCCATGACCTCGATGAATTGCATCCAGAGCTCATTCCAATTTAAAATTTCTCTTGCATTCCTGTTTACTAGGATTAAAATTGCAGTAAGGTGAAATTGTTACTGATTGTTGCTAATGCTTTGCCTGTGTTTGTAGTTCATTTCCTATCGTCTGTTCTTAATTAAACTTGGCTCCATACGCTGTAATTTTAGCTGAACACTGTAACTTAATTTTATTTCTGTCTCTTTGATTTTTTTCAGTTCTCTTGACCTTATAACCTCCAACAATCTGCTGATTCATTGCGTTCTTTAATTTACTGGTGTTTTTTCCTCCTTTCAAATATTACGTGTTGTGTGTTGTGTTCACCTTTGTTTTAATCCTGAGGGTTGCTGTCATATTCTTTCAGGAATCTGAATGGCTTAGAGTGTCACTCCACAAGTGGTTAGATGATGAATATTGTCCTGAACCAACTAATGTTGACATTAGTAGAGTGGCTGCTAATTCTTATTACCAGTCATTACTGCAGAAGACTACTGATGTGGGTGAAATTTTGTTGAAGATGGTCCGAGAACTAGAAACTATTTCCTACCAGGAAAGCTTTCATGGAGCTTTCTCTTCTGCCAATGCTGCTGTTAATCTAATTGCTGAGAGGATAGAGAATGTTTAGCTTCATGTCTTCCTTATTACATCTTTATTGCTTCCTGTCCATCTCCAGCCTTGTCTTCTCCTTGTGTGGGAATTGAAGGAAAGGGAAATAGTGGAAAGAGATTGCTGCAGTGTAAAAGGCTCTTAAGAATAGTAATTAATTGTTCATATACTGATAATTTGTAAAGATGTGTGTCACAGGCGTAACTAATCGATGCTTCTTGAACTTATATCTGTTAAACCTATCCATAGGTAAACAGGAACTATAGTATGTAATAAATCTGTTTCACGAAGATGGATTTATGATTCTCTTACACAGCTATACCTATCAATCTATCATAGATCTATTCACATGAGGAGCAGAGAAGATGTTATAGGCTATTTTGTACTTAATCAACATGTATAAAATTTGTTACATTAACTAATAATGTCAATATGAGCTTGAACAAGTATTGAACGAGTTTTAACTGAACTTAAATACACCCAACTATGAACAAGTAAAACGAATAGTTTGAGCTAGGCTTGTTTATTAAATGAGAGAAAGAAAAAATTACAAACAAGTTTGTATGTTAATTTTTCATTGAAATTGTTCATGAATGTCAACTTACTGACATCATTAGATGTGAAGATAACAACATACAAAACCTTCTTCGAAAAAAAAGCAACACATAAAACCGAAATAAGCTACTCTTCCATAAAATAGATACCGATTAATACGTTAGCAAGCAACAAACAAACATAAATATATTAAATACTAAAAGCAATTTTGTCACAACTGGGCATTTGGTCTAGTGGTATGATTCTCGCTTTGGGTGCGAGAGGTCCCGAGTTCGATTCTCGGAATGCCCCTTTTTTTTCATTACTATTCATATTTTTTGGGGTAGTGGGGAAAAGGCCTTGATTTTGTTATTGAACTTTTGACACTTGATCCTGTGTTGGAATATGCAAGTTTTTAATGGAAATGCAACCTCCATCGACGACTAAATTATGGGCGTTTACGTACTTGGCCTCATCTGATGCCAAGTACAAAGCTGCATTGGCAACATCAATTTCTTCACAGTTTGCTCCCTTTAGTTCACCAGCACCGTGCACCATTTTCACTATCAATTCGTCTTTAACCCCAGGAAACCGCATCCTCAACTCATCCATAACAAAAGGTGTAGGAATTGCATACGGCGATATGCAGTTTATCCGAATCCCATGCTTGCTCAGCTCTGCTGACACAGACTTAACCATGCCTATTACTGCAGATTTTGAAATAGAATAGGATGGTTGAGCCATCCCTCCCATCATCCCAGTAACACTTGCAGTGCACAAAATGCAACCCTTTTGACGAGGAATCATCACTCGTGATGCATGCTTTATTCCTGCTAATGAACCTCTCACATTGATTGACATTACACGGTCAAAGACACCAAGGTCAAGGTCTGTAATGGAAGGCGGCGATCTGCAAGCAATCCCTACATTTGGGCAACAAAATATGGTTAAATTGCTATTGAATGAAAATCAGTGAGTTTGTAACATTACCTATCACATGCAAAGTTACCTAACATACAGATTTGTATTAAAAATATATGAACTATATGGGACATCTTTCTTTTCTCTGTCTAAACTAAAACATTCTGGTAATACAAAAGTGCGTTGGTCTAAATTAGTATTGCATCAATTCGACTACTTTGGATTGTGATTTTTTTGCATGTTCACTATCAGTATATAACTGTAGTACATACATGTACACATAAAGGCGGCATTCATCTTCTGTAGTAACGTAAAACGAATTTGATCAATTAAGTCAGTCCAAAAACCCACCTGCATTATTATACATGATATCAAGTTGACCATATCTGGAAACAGAGAAATCAACGGCACCAGAGACATCAGATTCTTTCGTGACATCACACGAAACAAATGAAGCACTTGAACCTAACTCCTTTACCAGTTCTTGGCCTTGTTCATGTTGAATATCAGCAATGACAACCTTGGCCCCATTTTCAGCAAATTTTATTGCTGTTGCCTTGCCTATCCCACTAGCCGCTCCAGTGATCAGTGCGACTTTTCCTTCCAGTCTATATATTTTATTATAACATGTCAAATGGATACAGAGCGATACATATGGCCGGTATAGGGAAGTCAAAATATACATGAAAGTACTTCTAAATTGTAACAAGTAGAGAAGCTGATTCTGAAATACTAGCAGGAAACAGTTTTTCTGATGATTTTTCACATGTATACTACTTGACTTGAAGCAAATAAACGTGAAAAACAGGATAGTTTACATGTAGATTCATTGGATAGAACAATTTTTATGTAAAAGGCAAAAAGGCACTCGAATGCTACCTTTTTGCATAACGTAAATTATATGTTCCCACTGACTAATATAGGTAGATTACAACAGTAAAAGAGATTGTCGGCTTGCTAATGCATAATTAAGAAAGAAAGCCAAATCAAGGTTCCCATCTCTACCCATGAACGCGGAACTCAAGTATTGGTTAATACAAGTCGAGTCATCAAACTACTTTAGTGATCTCTCAACATACAACTTAATGGGATGCAGGAATAAAATATGCTTGTGGATTGAGAACACAAAGGATAAACGCGTATCTCTGTAAGATCCAATCAATTTTTAAATCCAATCTTAAAATAGTTTTCTAATCCAAAATTTGACCAACCATATTACAATATTTATGCTTATAGACTTGAGAGTATAAACAATTAAACAGACTCTAGGTGTAAGTACATGCTCAGATGTAGTCCAATTGACTCAAAGTAGGTAATATTGTTGTTTGACTGGTAAGCAAGGAAACACAAGCATTTATCGAGATGTTATACTTCACACATGTCAAAAAACTAACACGATTAATGGACAATTCTCTAATAGCTAGGCTTTAATCTTCGAGACTCAAAAATTGTAACACCTTGACCTTTATTTTAGGTCTACTAAACTACATATATATATATATATATATATATATATATATATATATATATATATATATATTTATATATATATATATCAAGCTCTTAATAATAGTATGGTAAATGGTACAAGCTCACTATTAGATGAATCGAGAATAGAATCCAGAGCTCAAATGATTCACCGAAGCAACAAGACCTGAAAGATGCTTTTTTCGGGGCTCTTGAAGGCATCATGTATATTAGGAACTAACTTTAAAAAAACAGTATTAAAACTCGTCTTCCCTTTCAACAACAGACATGAATATTGTTGAAAGATACATGAGAACTAATTAATTCATTTACCAAGAAAGTGTGACAAACATTTACATAGATTATTTCCATCAATAGACACATACAAATCTTATAGCAACCATCAAAAGCAATAGCTTTTCGCTTAACAACAAAAGGTATACAATCTTGAAACCAAAGCCACAAACTAGCATAATCTACAGCACATATTATTCAAAGATTTCTTGGTATAAAGTATATAGGTCGGGTAAGGTATTTCTTGATGCAATTCAGCTGAGAAACTATTAAACTCAGTAGCAACGTGGCGATGTTAGAGTTAACACGGCTGTGCATTAGGCCAACAGCTAGGTAGAATATTGCTTAATGTAATATTGTTGAAACCATGCCGACATGAAGCATTTTAATTTTAACTAAAATGTGTTCAGATCATATGCATTTTTTTCTTATCCGGGAATTAGAATTTTTAGATTCATTTGCATTCTTACCTTGTGCTACACTACAAAATGTAGATGGTCCTTACTTGAAAGTCTACCCTTCATAAAAAAAGGAACTTCAATATTGTTTTTTTGCATCAAAATCTTAATACAGCCCGACAAAAGTATAATTTTATTTGAACTATAGCATGTACTGGTTGTCTGATTGACAGCACGAAACATTACTCATTCAAATAATAGACCTTTCATTATATTCCGTTCTACATTACACAAAATGAAACGTCGGATTTTGTGGTTGAGAACTGTTATTTTCATACAGTTTGGATATATTAAAAAGCAAGATCTATCTTAATCATTAATCAATTATTCTTACAAATCTGAAGTTGGTTTATTACTTCAAATAAATGGTCATTTTGTGATTCAAATGTCTATAATGAGAATAGTTTGATGGTAATCCAAAACTAACACTTTGTTTGGATAGGAAGAAATGGAAGGAAAAGAAGAGAAGAGAGATGGAGGGGGACAAAATCTCTTGTTTGGGTAAAAGATTTGGGGAAGGAAGGGGAAGGAGAGGGAGGGATCTATTTTCCCTCTCTCTATAATAACCATAATCTCTCCAAAATTGGAGAGATTTGGAGGGAAAATGGAGCTCACCTCCCCCTCCCTTTCTTTTCCCTTCCCTTCCTCCATTCTCCCTCCCCTTCTTTTCTTTCCTTCTTTGCAATCCAAACAAACCGTAAAAGTTTCCCTTTTATGACTCTAAAAGTTTCCTTGAGTTTATCCTCGAAAACCCGAGAACATGACAGTTACATACATACGCCGGAAATTTGGATTATACAGTCATACATACACATACCACTACAATAACCAAAGCAAATTTATGATTTGCATACCTTCCACCATGATTAGAGAATTCCCTGGTGAAGCTTGCTGAAGCTAGAGCTCTTGAGATAAAACTCAGTTTTCTGTTAGCAATACATTGATCACAATTTCATTAGAAACCTTTAATCAAATTTCATTAGAAGATTTATGTCAACCACTTTAATAAAAGCCAGACTACTACTCTGTCATGTAACAACTATAACTAGACTCATTGTCCTGACTTGTAGATGTCAACAACCTTAGCTGATAAATTTAAACTCTCGGGGTTGTACCCTTGACCTGAGATTGATTCTCGTCTACATCATACTTCTAAAAGCGTACTATACACCCCAAAAAAAAAAGTAAAAAAGAAAATTCCAATGGGCATATCTAAATTCCCAGCCATTGCACACAAAAAGGAAATGGAAAAAAGGAATTTTTGGCCATCAATGATTCAATGACATATGATCCAAAGTTTATAACATGATTATTTGGTATTAAATTATTCTGCAAAACTGCTACAAATCAGGACCAAAAAAAAAAAAAAAAAAAAAGTAACTTAAATGTATGTTAAACAAGTTAGTAATTTATAGGATTGAAAAGAGAGAAAAACTAACCTTAATTTGAGCATGAACATTTTGGTCTTTAGTTTTTCTGAATATATTCAGCAGGAAATGCACAAGAGGAAAAAAAATAATGTGTTTGGTAATTGCTGGAAATCTGATGGACTACTATGGAATTTATATACGAGCATATGTCAGAAAGTGTTAAATAAACAGAGTTCCTGAACCTCTACAGATAATGACACTAAACAAAAAAAGATGCTAGTTGTTGCAACTTGCCAATTTGTCAAATAAGATAAAGGGGTCAATGAGAAAATACTCATACTGTACAAGTAAATGTACTCTATCCTACAATAGTTAACGCAGTTACTAATACAAATTCACAAATTCGTATGTATGGCTTGTCACACCGAGTGGCTAGCCTTAATGAGGTTATTTTTAGCTAGTATTACAAGAGCTACTCAATCATTGTTACAGGATTTGCTTCATCAGTGATATCAAGGTTACTCCATCAGTGTTACATGGGATACTCGGTAAGTGTCATAAATGTTCTTTTACAATTGACCACATGTGTGGCTGACCACATGATGTGACTAACCACACAGCCGCACACAAAATAAGCTGTAAAAATTTATGTTAATACCTTTTTAATTACAATTTTTTGGGGGGAAACCTTTTTAATAAAAAGTTTTCATATCAATAGTGAAAAAATATATAACATGTAATTATTTAGTGACGGAAGGAGTATTATTTATTGAATGACAAACTTGTTACTACTATGACAAACACGTACGCCATAACTAGTCATATTCGAGTTACTCTTTTGGGTTGAATTTATGTCACAACTTTAGTGGTTGGCAGCATAAATAAGGAAAAAAACGTAAACGAATATTTTTACGATATAGGAATTGTTTGTAATTGTCATTTGACTATCTTTCATTAATGAAATCATTTTTCTTCTTGTCATAAATGTTTGTATACTATTTTTTTTTCTTTTTTGACTGGAAATAAACTATTGTTAATTGTTAAGACTTAAGAGTTAAAAAAAAAAATTCAACATAACAAATAAGTAAATACAATACACATTTTAAGGGGCATAATTTTCTCAACATTATTCTCCATATTAGAACACATGGACAAATATTTGAACAAGCTTGTATTTTATAAATTGCAGCCAAAAGTTTTTATAAATTGTAAATTACAATCCATTCAATTTTTTCATCGGTTTGCGTGTTTAAAAATATCCGGTAAAGATTTTAGTGGTCATTTTAGCCCTTAAGAACTCAAATTGAGCTCGAAATTGGCCAATAATTAACGTTAGTGCCTCGTTTTACAGGGAAAAAAATAATTGCCCACAAATTGATACATATTTGTTACACAAAACAGGACACTTACGTTATTTTTTGCCAAACCTAAACAAACTTTTTTCGACACGCAAATCGGTGAAAATATTGAATTAGGATGCAATTTACAATTTATAATATTTTTGGGTTGTAATACAAGTTTTAAGTGGATGCAATTTGCAAATTCTCTATATTTGAATAACACATTTATTTAGGAAATTTTGTGTAAAACTACCTAAAGATAGAGTCATTTGTAATTAACTACCCGATTTTTTTTATTTGTTTAGAACTACCCATAAGTTTGAAAACGTTTGGGTAGCACTACCACCAACATTTTCCGTCCAATTAAGACTTTATTAGAGCCCATTTTTTCACTTTTGTCACTCAATTAACTCCACCAATTTGTTTAAAGGTTTTAATTTACCCTAATTAATCTAATTAAGGTTTTAATTAGGATTTATTTTAGGGTTCATGAGTTTAGTATTATTTAGGGATTTTGATTTCTAAGGTTTGAGGGTTTAATTGAATTCGGGTTTTTGCTTATTTTAGCATTAATTGGTCATTGTAATTAACAAAAGTGAAAAATTGGCCAAAGTATTGTTTTAATTGGACATAAAATATTACTGGGTAGTGTTACCCAAAAGTTTTCAAACTTACGGATAATTTTAAACAAATTAAAAAATAAATGGGTAGCGGTAGTTCTTAGGGGTGATAATGAGACTGAGCTATTCATGAACTATTCGAGCTCGATTCGGTCAAATCTCGGTCAAAGCTCGATTCGTGGTGGCTCGGCTCGGGTCTGAGTTCGGCTCGAGACTTTAACGAGCCAAGCTGAGTTATGCCAAGCTCGGCTCGAAAAGTTTGTGAACAAGCTCGTTTATTTTTTCCATATAAAAAAATCATGTATATAAATATAAATTTTTTTATCAATAGATATTACATAACAATAAGTTAGTATTTTCATTATTAAAACAACAAACTCGTTATAAAGTAAAAAATTTAATAATGAACAATAAAGAAGACAAGTAAATTACGACTAAGAATAAATCAAGGTTGGTCGTGAATAGTTCGCGTTCGGCTAGGCCAACGTTTAGTCAAAGCTCTGCTCGGTCGAAACTCGACTCATAAAGGTTCGAATTCAGCTCGAGTTCGAACAAATTTAAACGATCACGAGCCGAGCTGACCATAGTTCAGGCTCGGCTCGCCCGATTAGCACTAGTTCTAGATAAATTTTCCATTTATTTATTTGTTAAAAAAAAAAACACTGTACTGGTCGATAACATTGCTCTCTTCTCATTCTCTCAATTTCCCATTGAAGCGCACTCAACGTTCTCCATTATAGAGACTTTTGATATTTCTATCTTCCATTGAAGCAGCTTCTGAGGTAAGATGTTTTTTTTTTTGTAATCATCGAATTTTAATTTCACAATCGAAGGTTTATCGTTAATTTAATACTTAGTTTACTCCATTTAGGGTTCTTCGATTAATTTGATATTTGAATCTAATTTACCTTTAATGTTTGGATGTAATTATAAATTGGGACTTTTTCTCCCCAAATTAATTAGCCTTATTTGGTGATTGAATAAGTTGCTACTGTGTTGCAGAACCCTTTTAGTGATAGAATCGAACTATGAAATTGTACCTTTTCACCTAAATTTATGAGCTTTATTTGAAAATTGAATCAAATTTGGTTGCAAATGTGTTTCAGAACCCTTTAGTGATAGGATGGAACTATGAAATTGTACTTTTTCTCCGTAAATTTATGAGCCTTATTTGAAAATTGAATAAATTTGGTTGCAAATGTGTTGCATTAATGCAGAACCTTCTGTGAAACTAAAACTTTTTTCCCTCCTGCCCTTGTTCAGGTGCGGGGCGGAGGGGTAGCCGGGTAGGTATTGCTAGGTTGAAATGTTGCAAAGATTTTGATGTATGGAGCTTTTTGGTTTCGTGGCTTACTCGAGTCTTTCGATATAGAAACTGTCATAAATTTTTCTCCCGTAATCAAATCTGTCAAGATTGTTAGCCTTTGAGTTATCCTTTTGGTCTAGTTTACAAGTCAGTCCATGGTTTTTTTTAGTCTTTTGTTAGGCAATCTTTGAAATAATATTAGCTTGTGCTCACCTTAGCAATCGGGAAGATTTGGCGGGACTTTTACTCATTATGAGTCATATGACTACCAGTATAGTCACAAATCTATCTGTGGCAAAAAAAAAAAAAAGCTGAGTACGGAATCATATGAATGATCTTATCAGCTGTGCTCACAAAGGAGTGTTAACTGTGATTCATATACATATTTTTAACTGCAGATTACTACAATTTGCTCTTAATTTTTTCCCCTAGCATATCTTTTCTTTGAATTAAACAAGGTTTTTCTATGTACTGAATTAGTGAAATTAACCTACTTTTACTGCAAAGTTTCACCATTCGGGATGTTTATTTGGAAAGGAAAACAGAATGGTGCGGAAGAAGAGTCTGAAAAAAGCCGAGTTTGCTAATCGCTCCTCTCAAGCATCAACTGAGAAGAAGACTCCGGAATCTTTGAAGCTCACTGCTAAGCAGCTGAAGAGATCAAAGAAACAGAGGTTGCGAAGAGAAAAAAGAAAAGAAGTTGCCTCACAGAGTCAAGTCACAAATGAGGATAAGAACAGGACAGCAGCAACAGTGGATAAAGAAAGCAATCTGAATACGAGTGATAATGGCAAAGAGAATGGTACTTCCAAGGGGATTAAAAATAAGAAATTTAGAAACACTAAGCGTGAGCCAAAAAGTGATAATAAGGATAAGAACAAGACAGCAGCAAGAGTAGAAAAAGAAAGCAATAAGAATTCAAGTGATAATAGGAAATATAACGGTTCTTTCAAGGAAGACAAAAAGAAAAACAATAGAAACAGTAAGTCTGAGCAAAAAAGGGTCGGGGCTCCAAGTTCTGAGAATAAAGTTGGTGGATTGATCTTCATGTGTAATGCAAAAACAAAACCTGATTGTTTTCGTTACAATGTCATGGCCCTGCCTTCCAGCAAAAAGGAGGTTGTGCTTGGTATAAAGCCTGGTTTTAAGCTTTTCCTTTACGATTTTGATCTTAGGCTCATGTATGGAATCTATGAAGCATCTTCTGCTGGGGGTATGAAACTTGAGCCAGATGCTTTTGGTGGAGCTTTCCCTGCTCAGGTGGATCATCTCAAAAAAAAAAAAAAAGGTTTTGTTTTTCTTAGTCATTTACCTTTATTTATTATTGATATCGATGCCACTTTTTCAGGTGCGCTTCAGAATTAATGAAGACTGTTTACCTCTCCCTGAAAGTGTTTTCAAGAATGCAATAAAGGAAAATTATGATGAGAGAACCCACAAATTCAAGACTGAACTAACTTCTGAACAAGTAAGAATTTTATCCTCTTAACATTCTTCTCTTTGGCTTGAAGTGGTGTCGATATTGTTGTTGATTATTATTAGGAAAGACATGATTTTATTCTAAATTTATGCAGAGTAGCTATTAAAGACATCCTCGTATCATCATAATGGTTAAGCTTTAAAAAATGGGTGTTTCATATTAATGGTTGCACTTTACTGCATTCCAATTTTGGGTCTACTACCCACCTTATTTAATCCATTTCCCCGCTCTGCTTTTCCCTCTTTACAAACAGAGTACAACACCTCCACTAAACCTATAATTTTATAATTCTTCTTCTTCTTGGCATTCCACCTTTTTAATTTTTTTTTTTTTTTTTTGGCTGTTGTTCTTTTCTTAAACAACTCAACTCTAAACTATTATGAGTTATTCTTTTCTTACGACATTCGACTAATCCATACCTCTCTCTTACTTTCCCATCATCTCTCCTTAATTGTGAAAAGTTCAGGTGAAACCGTTTATGAAATGTAGGGAGTAGAAAATAAACACTTAAAATCCTAATACTACCAAAACTAGGAAACTTTGTAGTTTTCAAGTAATAAACAGAGATTGTGTTTTAGCAAGCATTGTTACCTGTATGAATGGGCAAAATTCGCCTAGTTTTTAGAGAAAAACAATCTATCATTTTTTTAGGAAAAGAAAATTTCTATTTATTTTATTGAGAAAATAAAGGTTATATTCCTATCATATTAAAGAGTAATGTGCATTAGGCAAAAATAAAAAAAAACTATATTGTATATCTTACAAAAAAAGTATATTAGTTATCTTTTATGTATGGAATGAACTTTCAACAAATATTTATCATCCAATTTTGAATTAATTTTATTTATAGTAGGACTTTAAGTCTTAATACGCTACTTCTTTTTTTTTTTTTTTATTATGTGCAACAAAGGGGTATTATTTGTGAGACATAAAATATTCCTTTATTGCACATAATAACAAACATAGGTAGTAAGAAAAAATAAGTGGATCTATTGTCAAAGATGCCTTTATAAGGAAAATGGTGCAACTAATTTGGGACATAAGGAATATATTGTTAGGAACTTATCAAATTTTATGATGATCATGGATTGAGGCTTGATGTAATATACCTTGGACAGTGGCGTGTTTGTAAGACATCAGCTTAGAATCAATATATGATAAAAATTAGTGCTTTTCTTAAATTCTTATAAGCGGCCACATGGTAGCCTTGACTCCATGAAGTATTGAAGTATTTATATTACTCGAATTATACATGAATGACCCACATCCAAGGCTAGTTGTAGAGCAAAGAGTTTGGCACACTTTTGGTATTTAGGGTAAGCTTTTTCTTGTAAAGTTAAGATTAGGGAGCAGGCTTATAATCTTAGAAATGAGTTTAAGTAAATCATATTTGGTTCTGCTTGGTGTTGCTACATCTAATAATATTAATCTCTAATGTCTTACTTCTTTTAAAAGGGACCCTCATGCCATACTTCATTTCACAAATGTGAAAATTATATTGGGAATCAAACTATTAAAGATTCTTTGGAACATTTAATAATTTTTTTTTTAATTTATACTTTCTCAAGTGAACATGTGGTATTGCTTATTTCGTAAGTGCCCTAATTTGCTAATTTTATGGCTAATTAAACAATTTAATGATTGGTTTTTAACCTTAATTTCCAAATTATCCCTAGTTTACACCCATCTTAACCAAATTTGACCGCCACCCGCCGCCATTTCCCCTTGGTGTGGTGACTATCCTATTTAAGTTGTTTGTTTGAAGTATTTGTTGTTCCGGGTTGTTCTTAATCAAGAGGAGTGAGAAAGTATATGGTCTGCAGTTAAAAAAATTTCATAAATAAAGATTGGTAGATGGTTTAGGCCATACGTTCATCTCATTGAGCTGACTGGTACAATGTTTGTCACTTGAAGAAGCAAACTTTGGTTCTTGTCGGTAGGTCTCACCCAATGTTGGTGGGTGTCACATGAATCATATGAGACTTAACATTTGGTTTCGTAGGCTTGAGGCCTGTAATGGTGTATAGACACACAACAATAGAAAAAAAGCGTTCAAAATACAAGCCACTTTCATTAATCGTGGCTAGTACAACACTAAAGAAGTAAAGAGCTTACTAGGGAATCCTCATAAGGCCAATGCATGCTCAAACATGCATATCCACCCACTACACCCATAATATAGGAACTGCTCACTACTTTAACTCCCTTGAATTAGTTTGCCTTGTTTTGAGCCATCAAGTAGGTTGGTTGTAGTCAATGTCAACCTTAATTATCCCTCATGTGTTATAGCCCCTTTTGGTCTCTTTACGTCAATGACTATGCCCGTGGCTCATGGCCATGAAGCCATTCATGGTCGGTCGTCACAATTAATCCCTAAAAAGCATTATTTTGCAACGGTCAATGTGATTTGACATTCCTTGACCTAAATTTGACCGTAAGGTCATCTATGATTTAATGGGAGTCCATTTAGGCTCCCAATTTATCATAGGTTAGAATGGAGTTTTACCCACTTAAATCCTTATGTGCACGCGCTTGCTCCTGTGACAAGGCCTAGGCCTAGGATGCTAAGCCACTAAGCGTATGAGATCATTATCAATGACATCCGAAGCCTTACATACAAGTGTGATTACCCTATATCCCACAATAGTTTGGTCTCCTTGACTCGATGCCCCACCCGCGCGTGCGGTCTCACAGTCTCCCGTAGGTCTCGCATGGATATGTGGGATAGTTGACGTTTTTGGTTGACCAAAGTGAACGTGATAGTAAGCTTGTAATTAACTACTTGCCTAAAGAATTGGTTCGTAAATTAATCATTTAATGGGCTCCAATTAAAAGAGCAATAGGAGCATGTAATGAAATATGCTTAATCATATGAATTCCGTTTAATAATAAAAAAGCCATCAAGTTAAAATTTTCAATTCTACGATGCCACCATGTAGAATTTCTTAAAAAAATTATTAAATGATTTATGGAAACTTTCAAAAAAAAGTTTCACACTTGCCGGATCCCTGTACCTGTGTACCTATGTACCTATATCTGAATTTAGGTTGGTGTCCACGTATCTTAATTTTAAAATTTTCCATAGCATAAACTTGTATCCGCACTTGCATCCAATACTCTTACCCATGTTTTATGTTTATTCAACATAGGGTATAAGCATACAAGCTATGTTACATGGACTTGGGTACCCTCCGGGTACAAGTTCAAATGTCTGATTCGGCTATTTTGTGAAAAAGTTCATGATTTTGAACTGAAAATGAAGTGTTCGAGTGTCATACCCATGTTCGAGTGTCGAGGGTTCGACATGGGTACTGGAGGTGAAATGAAGAGTCCGTGTGTAACATAGCATCAAGGGAAAAGTGTCTTGAAAGCGAACATGATTTGTTTTCTGTCACCACTGAACTTATTGGGCCTAAATATTTTGTTTGGAGCAGATTGCATGATATTGCTTCCGTTTTTTAAAATCGCAACGTTTGGGATTTCACGCTTGCCAATAAAAAGTTGATATTATGAAAGTATATATTGGGACAAATCTGACATATCACACATGAACATTTTTTTTCAACGTATAAATTACAAAATATGATTAAAGGAGTGTGTGTGTGAATAATGTAAAATTCTAAACGTTGCGACTTAAAAAAAGAGAGGAAGTACATAATTACATACAATAACTTGGATCACATCTTCACCATCCGTTCATTTGCAGGTGAAGAAACTTAGATCCCTGTTCCGTCCTGTTCTCCAGCTTCATTTGAAGGATCATCCTGTCGTTCTGCAGCCTGCATCATCTTCTGATCGACTTTTTGTCTCTGAGATGGAGTACCGCAGATATGGCCTCCGACCAGAATTACGTAATATGGGGCAAGATACAATTTCCTATGCTCCTGTTCCAGATTCTTATGGGACTAATCATGAGAGGGAGCAACTTTTCAGGAGCTCTGCTACACTATACAAGGATACACCATCTGCGCAGGAGCAACTCTGTAGGATTCCTGCCCCGCTGTACAGGGATGTATCCCATACACAGGAGATGTTAGCAAAGCCTGCCCCAGTTTATGGGTCTTTTTCCTCGTTGCAAGAACCGGCAGTTTCTCATCATGAGCCATTTTATTTGAGTGAAAATGAGTATCGAATGTATGGTTTGCGAGGTCAAAGTGAGCATAAACCATTGGTATCAGCCACAACAAGGCCAAATAATGAGTTGGATGGTTACCAAGACAATCAATACCACTCTCATCATCCATTCACAAGTTTAACAAGGGCAGGGGCTGATACTTATGGGGCATACTCGCAGGCGTCAGTGACCCCTTCTGATCCATTCACAAGTTTAACAAGGGCAGGGGCTGATACTTATGGGGCATACTCACAGGCGACAGTGACCCCTTCTGATCCATTGACAAGTTTAACAAGGGCAGGGGCTGATACTTATGGGGCATACTCGCAGGCGACAGTGACCCCTTCTGATCCATTCACAAGTTTAACAAGAGCAGGGCCTGATACTTATGGGGTATACTCGCAGTCAACAGTGACTGAGGCTTATCGTAGTGACTTGGGGCTTGCAAATAATGCTGTTGATTACCATTTACCAAGAAGGGTTGCTGATGAAGGGCTCTATTTATCTTATGCCTCTCGTGATCTATCTGCATACAACCAGAGAAGTCATGTTGGTGCTCAATCTGAGCTTGCACCTGCATCTGTTTCATCTCGATACTCATTTGCAGGGGGATCCTATTCCTATAGATAAATCAAAGCTTCTATTGCACGGCATGGCTTCTTAGGCTTTGTTTCTTGTTTATGACAAATATTGAAGAGCCAAATGGAAGATTAGTTCTGCTGAATTCAGTGATCTGGTGATGTACTTGTTTAAATCGATGTCATTTATACCTTACCTTGATCTCTGATACTTGAAAGGTTACTTGAAATCAGGTGGACACATCATAGGAATGTGCATTTTGAATGATAGTTACCAGTTAATGTTCATACACATCTCTAGAATTTAGAGTAGGTGATGTCATGACGAAGCATCAAATCTTAAGAATGCCTTTCCTAGCCCTAACAAAACAACTTTATGCCTTCATTGTTACCTTTGTTATATTGTTTATTTGGTTTGTTTTCATCAATGAATTAGCCTGATAGCCGAGTGAAGAGAAGATATAACTGTCTGTTTAAGGTGTAGGAATGCAGAATATCTTCTCAAGAGCCACAACTGGCATAAACCTTTCATTTGTGCAGGTCATTAATCCAATGTAAATGCTGATTTTATTCAAGATATAATTAGTAAGCATGAAAATGTTGTATTCAACTACGGAGTATTTGTGTTTATCCCCCTTTCGTATAAGTATGGTCTTCTTTTTTTTTGGCATATGGCTTTATTTTTATGGGTTATGGGTTAAATTAAAATCTTTTACAAAAAAAATGTTAGAAAGTTACATTTCTTTCAAAAAATCTTTTACGGAGTATAAAAAAAAATGTGGCAAAGTAAGGAGTCTTTTTCCAAAATAATGTTGTCAAAAGACTCACTTCTCAAATTAGAGCCCTATTTTCATGAATTCTTTAAATACTATCCAAATAATTACATTTTAATATAATATCATTCTTCTTTCACGTCCCCATCCAAACACATTATAATTATTGTTATTGTTATTATTGTTCTTGTTTTATTGTTATTATTGTTATTGTTATTATTGTTATTCTTATAAAAAATTAGTGGGAAGCCGAGATACAATTTGGGGTCCCCACTCCTCTAGTTATAGCAAATGCCTATTGAAGAAGAAGAAGATGAATCGCATTTCTTTCTCATTTTGCTGGATTTCTAGGTTGGTTTGGTGCCATTGGTGGGGTTGGAGACTTGGAGTTGGGGTTACATGAAATTAGGGGTTTATAATCTGAATTACTTGTTTTTGTCTTCTGTTTTTGATATGTTTTAAAACGGTTAATTGAATTTAGGAGTTACTTGGAATTATGAGCTCTTTGAAATTAGGAGTTACTTATAATATGGGTTATTAGAGGTTACTACTTGAAATTATGGGTTACTATTGAAATTATGGGTTACTTGAAATTAAGGGTTACTAATAACATAGATTACTTGAAATTAGGAGTTATTTGAAATTGCACATGAATGTCAGGCTCCGTTATGCGTGTCAAACTTCGTTATTTTTGCTGAGTTGGCAGAAGGCCTCAACCACACCGTATGGGCAACTACACCAAAAAGGCTCTGTATTGATACATGGCTTTGTGAAAAATGAGCCTTAAAGGCAACAAACGGTGATCGAAATTCGATGAATAAAATATTGCAAGTAGGAGGTATTGATGAAAACTTTTGGGATAAAAATGGGAAATTTGATTTTAAAGTAAATGTTATAAGAAAAAGAGAATAAAAAAAGGTGTGGGGGTAAATATTGTAATTTGATATATCAACTAGTTTTTGGCTTGTGTCATTATACGTATATTTTAAATGAGGTTTTATGATAAAAATTATGTGATAAAATACAAATATAGATTAAATTGGTTACACAAGTTAAGAGACGCACACAAATCATACAATGTGTGTGTATGTGCAATATAAGTAACCTATCAACCTCGATTTTTTTTTCCTTTACAATATTATCTCCTTAATTTTAATTAAAAAAATATTAGTGGATTTAAAAATTGTTGGTAAAATATAATAAAAAAAATTTTGCTATTAAAAAGCTTTCAATATATATATATATATATATATATATATATATATATATATATATATATTATTAAAAAAAAAACATATGATCATGATGATGATGTTATGTAGGCTAAATATACAATTTGACTTTCCTAAAAGAAAACTAAAAAGGAAAAGATGGCCATTATTTTTTTTTATCTAGATGATTTTTTTTAATTTTTATTTTTTTTAAAGGATGGTAGTTCTTTTTTTTTCCCTAAAAAGAAAAAGGTGAAAACATTTGTTGTAAATAAAGTAGTTTAGTACAAACCGTATAAAAATATTTAAGTAAGATAAAAAGATAATCTCACAAACAATGGAACAATATCATTGCGTCGTGATGCAAATCACTGACTTGAAAACGAATTTTCGATTTAACTAAGGTGCTTGATTGTATTCGTCGACATGAACCCTAAGGTTAACACACCATTTCCACACAAAAGACACTTTTGGGTGGAAAGATTGAGTCGAGTAACTTGTGCCGATAGAGAATGCATGTGTTTAGACTATTGTGCTTGATGTATTTTTCAGTGTAAAAATCAGAAAAAGGCTTTTATTTATAAAGAAACATGAAAGAACATAGAAGAAGAATCCCAAACATCAAAAGAGGTGAATAATCACCCTAAACATCCTCTTAAATTGGAAGTTATGAGAGTTTATTTATCAAGAGAATTATGGTGGTGATTAATCACTTTAAACATCCTCTTAAATTGGGGTCATTTCTTGAGTAATTCTTAGAGCATCTCTAATTAAGGCCGAGCAAAACTACCCGAAAAACCGATCCGTAATGTTCCGAAAATTAGGGTACCCGATCTGATAACCATAATGGTTCGGATACCCGTTCTGATAATTTGTTATCGGGTGTGGTTATGAGTATCATTTTAAAATTAACGGTTACCCGATTCGATATTATAAGCATTTTTTTTTGCTTTTTTTCCCTACTTAAATCTATTAATATAAATCTAAACTTTTATTTTACTTCATATTCACTTTATAATATCAATGATTAGTAATATTATTAATAATTTGGTCAAGATCATATGGTATTGTTTTTAATTAGTTGTAAATTATATGATAATAACTACATAATTAAGTTTAATTATCATTACTGGATATCTTATTGGGTATCCGATAACCGATCCGAAAATTCGGGTACCCGAACTTATCGGTTCCTATGGGTATCACTTTTAGTGATTTTGGTTATCGGGTACCCGAACCGTTAGTACTAACAGTACAGGTACCCGTCCCATGCTCACCCCTATCTCCAATGGTTGAGTTATAAGGACTTGCTTGCAATATAAATAAAATACTTAGCTACATGCTTACTATTGGAAAACAAAAAATTGAGCAACATGCTAGCTATTGTAGCCCAACCTAGCTACATGCTTGATTGAAAAAGAGACCAACAAACTCCACTCATATTGTAACATGTATATAATTATTTAATTTTTATATTTTATTGTTTGCAAACTACAAGATATTTTAGCTCACTATTGGAACACTTTGTAGCTAGAAATTGTTGTACCTTAAAAATTGATGTGACAAACCAAGCTACAAAGCATTGTAGCTTATCATTGGAGATGCTCTTAGAACTATTCAAGAAATGACATAACACCACATCATCTGCCTACTCATCATGACACGTGGCGGACTCATGTCTTCCCATTGAGTTTAAATAATACACATACACACATCAAGGTAAATCTAATAACGTCTTACATATTTCTTTCTTCGAGCTATCTAGTATATATTACTTAAAGTAGAAATGTAATTAACGAAAGGGAAGGTTAAAATGGAAATGTAACCGTAGAAAATGAATGGAGAGGGTACATTTATTCTGTAAAATAACAAAAAAGATGGTCAAAATTGGTCAAAGTTGTTATAAAAGTTAATCTCAAATATTCAAAACTCAGTAGAATTTGTTTATATAAACACCCGGGTGCACCGTATACGTAAGATTAGTTTTGCTCTAATTTGATGATTAAATGTAAAATAATCATCAAAACGAGAACAAAATACTCATGGGTATACGCCCTCTATGATACACCTGGTTGTATATAACAATCTCTCAAAACTCATAGAGTAATTTGAAAAAAAAAAAGGATTTCTATTATAATTGTAAGTGTTAAATTTATAAAAATGACCAATATCATAAAGGAAAAAAATACACTTCAATAATCCCAACTAAGGGTTTTTTTTTTTGTTTTTTTTTTTTTTTTTATCTATTCCTTGGGTTTTCCTCTAATAGTCCCAACCGGTCAACACCAAGTCATTTTTTTTTTAATAATTCTAACTATTCCTTGGGTTTTCCTCTAATAGTCCCAACCGGTCAACACCAAGTCAATGACTTGCTGTAATTGGTAACCAATATACGTGTCAGCACGTGATTGGTCTAAATTAAAAAAATAAAAATACAAACTAAAAACCCTAACGGCGACCACTCCCCCCTTAAACCACCGCAAAACACAAGGGCCAACCCCCAGCCCGTCGAAAAACGACCGATCATCTCCCCTCACCTATGAAAAATGGTTAGCTGGCCTCTCCCAACCCAAAAAACCACCCAAGCCGACCCATTCCCACCTTAAACCACCGAATTCTACCATTGAAAACTTCTACCACCAAATTCGACCGTCGAAAATAAGCTTCCCACCGCCGAATGCGACCCTCTTCCCTTCCCCAACCCTCGAATTCGGCTCCCTAGGCGATTTCGAAGGTGTAGGAAGGAAGGAGTTACGGCACTGATTATTTTTTGGTTTGTTTTTCAGCGAAGGGGGCGCGAAGGGAACACAGAGAGTGATGTAGGGGGTTGAGGTGGATCGGCTATGTCTTTTTTTTGGGTTGGGAGGATCGGTCGACCATTTTCGAAGGGTTAGGGAGTTGGCCGACCAGTGGCCAGTTTGCTATGTGGGTTGCCCGGGTTTTCACGGTTGGTTGTGTGGGTTGGGTTGACTGGATTGGTTTCTAATTTTTTTTTTGTTTTTCTTTTTTTGTTTTTAAAATTTTGAAATATTCAGGCCAATCATGTGTTGACATGTGGCATTTAAAAAAAAAAACTCTTTCAGTAGGTAGCCGGTTTTTTGGACCATGAAGGAAAACTCAAGGCATAGTTAGGATTATTAAAAAAAACAATAAACTTTAGTTGGAATTATTAGATTAAATCGGTAGTCAGGATTATTAAAGTGTATTATTCTTAAAATAAATTCATTTTATTTTATTAGTACAAGTTAAGAGATGCACGAAAATTCATGCGTGTGCATATAAATAATCTATCAAGATCAATCATCTGTTTTTTTTTTCAGATGGATTTTTTAATGGTGTCCTTTTTGTTTTATTATTTTATTTTTAAGGACGGTAGTTTTTTTTTTTTTTTTTTTTTGAAGACTAAGGGCATGTTCGGCAAAATATAGCTGTGAACGTAGTTGTAGCTGTGGAGATAGCTGTGAGCTGTGTATGTAGCTGTTAGCTGTCAATAAGCTGTTAGCTGTGAAAAAAGATAATTTAGGTATGATTGTTCTGTAAAGTAATGGTTGATTAGCTGTTACATTTAAGAATCAATATTTTATTTTTAAAACTATACATTAAATTTTCAAAAGCCACCTCAAAAGCTACCTCTAACTTCAAAAGCTAATAATCCTAACTTTTAATAAAAGCTACCTCCACCACTAAAAGCTACTTGAACCATTACTTTGCCAAACACTCACATTTTTTGTTGAGTAGTGGTTTGACCAAGTCAAAGCACTAAAAGCTACCTAAAAGCTACTCAAAAGCTAGCGCCGATCACGCCTTAAGGATGCACTACTACAAAAAAGGCCTTAGAGAACTGTTAGAATAGGCTTTATAGATCGCCTTAGGGGCGTTCTTCTGCTAAGCGATGTATAAAGTATAGAGAACGGGTTGTTTAGGCGTTTTATATAATAACAAATAGAGAACGCTTGTTAGTCACAACCGTTCTCTTTTCCCTTCATAAATTCGTACACTAAGGAAGGAATAAAGAACGGTTTAGTCCACTTAACCGTTCTATATTTGCATTACAATAGAGAACGGTTAAGTCAGATAACAGTTCTCTAATTTTTTTTTTTTTAAAAAAAAAAATCTGGACATACATATTTAATTATTCGAATTACCCCTCTACGTATTTTATACCGTATTATTCCTGTATTTTAATAATTTGAATTATTTTTGTATTTCATTTTAGACCTGTATTCCTGTTTTATATCTTGTAAATTTATACGGAGTATATCCTGTAAGAAAATCTTCACATTTCCTTTGTAAAATAAATCCAAAATCCTGTATTGTACGTGCAATATAACTTTCTGTATAATAAAATTAACAAAAATATTTCCAAATACGACAAAAGCCATCAAAATATACTTCATATATATAATTTAAAACATCCCATCACAATTAAATTGAATCATTCATACAAAATTTGTTCTATATCAAAAACCTTTCTAGTTAATGTTGATTTAAAAAAAAATTGATGCCCCAAAAATATACCAATACCATATTGATCTACAATTCACATAAATCATCGTCGTCGTCATTTGGTTGATGGTATACGGTTACCATATGAAATCTACCTTTCCCTAAGCTCGTCAATCATTTGTTGAGAATATGTATGAGGAACTTGTTTAAAATACTACAAAACAATGTAAAATACATACATATTAGGTAATAATATACAATAAATTCATCTAATTAAATATAAATAGCATGGTCTTGAGAATATAGAAAGAAACCCTGGTGTATGGCCTATATTAAGGCACAAAGCCACAGAGAGATTGACGCACTTATCTAATAGCTCACTAAACTATCAATGCAAAATGAATCACAACCAATACTGCAAAACACATTAAAAATTCAAATAACCAAAATAGATGGTCTTATAAATAGCAGCAGTCCTCAAGTTACTACTAAAGGGCATTATTAAGAAAATTAGCGCTATAAGCAAAGCTTGTCTTTGGCATGGCAGTGTTGACATTTTTGGAGCAGGTTATTTCATTTAGGAGACCCTCTGCTACCCCAAAAAAGATAAAGGGCTAAGTTTCAGGCATGAATGGAGGAATGAAGCTGTAGTATGAAAGATTTGGATGTAGCTGGGAAACAGGATTCACTTCAGGTTAGTTGTGTCCTTCGTGTCTACAGCAAGGACCAAGTTGGGTGGGGGTATGAGCCTCCAGCAGAAAATCCCAGCTGGGCAAGAAAATGTGTATGCATGATCAAGAATGTGTTCAAAGATGTGATTCATATGAATAATTGGCCTGATAACTGAAAATATTCAATGAAAAAAACGCTTATCAGAAATTTCTTGTGGTTCTCACAAGACTTGGACCTATCATAAACAGGAAGGCTCCAAACAAAAGGGAAACTCTATAAGTTTGGAATTTGAGCAGACGATAGATGTTTGATCTATTATGACTGTTCTTGGACACAAGCATCTACTCTGTGATTGTATTTTCAGTACCATGTGCATAAATAGCATGTTATCATGACTGCACCTTAGAATAACCTAAGATCCATCGCTCACCGTCTTATCTGTCTGAGAATACAGAAGATCATATAATTACTAGTTGCTATAGCTTATACTATACAACAAGTCAGAAATAAGTACTAACGGATTCAAAAGATTTTGAACATTAGCACAGCAAAATGTATTAAAGCTTAATTGTGCAAAAACTACAAAATTTTAGAGAGTATAGTCAGATGTGTGCATCAGCTACTCAAAATACATTAAAACTAAATGTCGTACCTTGTCGGGGATGATCATTTGCCTAGATTCAATTGTCTCAATCAATTTCTCCTTGGATTTGTTGAGCCTCCGGTGCTTTCTGAAATCAATAATAAGCAACCTAATTAAGGCAGTGTAATCTATTATAGCCAAATAATTTATTTGATTCAAAAGTAGAAACAAACTCACAATTGTTTGAGTATTTCAAAATCAGCAGGATTGTCAAAGGTGGTTTCTTTATAATCACATTTGGATTTACTCCCTTGGTGTCGTACATCCAATCCTTTATTAATCTGGCCTTGAAAGCTCTCCACCGGATTGAAGCTCTCCCTAATACGTAATTTCTACGTTCTTCCGGCACTATAAATCCTCTCTGCACAATTCAAATAAAAGATATCAGATATAATTAGGACTATTATTTGATCAGATTGCTGAGTTGTGATTTAAGCAGATATGATCAGAAAACTACAGTTGTAACCTGTAAGGACATTATTTATGTAGCTCTGATTCCCATACTCTATCAAATGGATCATCCAGGTACCTTAAATGAAAAAAAATCTGTATTTGATACTCATGGTTTTGCAACAAAACATAGTGGACTGTCAAGAGATTTTTGCATAAATGTTACACGTATAATAAGCAATTTGTGGTCATTACAATAAAAGAAATCACAACCATTCAATGCAAAGTATATTTGTCATACATTACAGTTACTCAGTATTTTCCAAGAAATTGGTTCATACCTTATGGGATCTTTCGTAGGAGCTCCAAAGTTCACCCTATCAGCAACCTTCATGTAAAAGTTGTCCTCATAATCCGTGGCGTACATTGAGAGATTCAATGGTCGAAGCTCCAGAGTAGAGATAAAGGGAGACCCTGTAGTTGCACAGCAAAGACAGACATCAATGGAGCTTGAAGGTGCTCTGATGATCATCTCTTTAACATACGTTCTCGATCCGTCGAACACCGTTACAGTTGCCCACTTAGTTGCATCCAAGTATAACAGAAAGCTGGGGTATGTGTCAGCAGTTGCAGTGCTTCCATATAGGAATGTTTCCCTTACAAGGTACCTTCTCCTTTCCTTTGTGTCTAATGTATAACAGTATTTCTTGTCATCTGTTGGGAAATCCCTTCTCTTTTTGTAGGGTTCCCATTCATCATTTGAGCTCTGAATATCTACTGTTTTTCCCTGATTCATAATTCCATTGTCTGAAATCCATGCTAACCCAGTTTTTTTGTCACTGTAATTACCATCTCCTCCACAATCTATACTGCATATAATCATATGAGAAATTATGAATAAATTAGCTTTGAAGGTTGAATACATGTTAAAATTTAAAGTCATTATGAATCTGAGTTAATAATAGTACTACTATAACATACCTGTTACTTGGGAGTATATACATGGTAAAGAGAGAAGAAGTAAAGCCAGAATCTAGAAATATGAACCCATTTAAGATCTTGAAAAGAGAGAGGAACTATATACTCTTACACTAAACTTCTTTCAGTGTTTCAATAACAAACATTTTTGTGCTTTGGTTTTTGGTGCAAACTCTTAGAGTTTGGACTACCAAGGCATCTAAATCCTAATGAATTGGAGCTTGGGCAGTAGGCAACTAATGAGCTAAAATAAGGAACATCTTCTAATAGATTATCTTTAATCACTTGCTTTATTTGTCTACCGATATTATTAAAGTCTTCGAGTTTTATGCAATTTCTTTCTCATTGCAATTTGCAATATGACAAGTCTCAATTCCAAAGCTCTACCACAAGTATAATTAGGCTTGGGGGTTATCAGCATAAAATGTAAATTACATCAAGGATCAAACTAAACAGGCAGCACTTCATCGAAATCAACATACTAGGACACAGAGTATAAATTTCATCCCTACTAAGCTAATTACTTCACTCTAAATAAATCATATTCACTAATCAGCAACTAATCAATAGCAAAATAATGGCATAATTATCGCAAAAATGACATTCAACCTTCTCAGCAATCATAACATCAAATTAAAATTTTACCAAATTTCAATTAATTAGGATATACAATTCCGAATTCCGAAGCAACATCACCTCTCCTACCCCAGTATAAGACACCAGTAGATCATCACCTAATTATATAGACTGCTAAAACAACACATTGTATCCAACGCACTCAAAACCATAGGTAAGATGAATTTAGCTAAAATTATTTTTATTACTATTGAAATTAATGTAAATTCGACAAAATTAAGGGTAATTTGATTGAACTCACTGTAATTCAACTGAAATATTTGCATACAAACAGTCGATTGAATTTAACCCTAAAACTAGAACTTTGAAGTTTTTTTTTCAATCACCTAAAATTCAAATTGCAAATTAATTTAATAGATGAAAACTATGAATTTAATTATGTTTCCTTCACATTTCGAATGATTCATGCAGTTCAATTGACAAATAAGCAAAATTCAATTACTCTATAACAAGAATCAAACCTACCTCAGCGGAGTGCCGGAGTGGTGCAGTGCTCAGAAGTTGTGCGGCGATCGGTGGTGCGGCGGTGGAGCGGTGGTGCGGCGGTAGAGCGGTGAGTCAGCGGCTGAAGGTTATTACAGCGGTGGAGGTTTCACGAATTGAAGCAATAAACAAGCAGTACTTTGAATTTTATTTTTTTTAAAGGTTTAGTAAAGTGAAAGTGACAAAAGAACGTGAAAGTGATATTAAGGAGTGCGCTTTCAATTCCTTTAAGCCGCCTTTAATTAATTAATTTGGGTAAATTATTACTATGTATATTTTTTCCTCCTAATAATTAAAAATAAAAACAATTAATTAATACAGTACAAAACGGTTGTCAAGATGACCGTTCTATATTATGTATAATAATTAATTATTTTTAAAAATTATTTTAAAGTAAAAAAATAGAGAACGGTTAACTATGCTAACCGTTCCATATGTATTTACGTACAGAACGCCTCTTATATAAATACGTTCTATATTCTTTTGGAGAACGCCTATCTTTGGTAACTGTTTAGGGTGAAAATACCTAAGACACGTGGCCCAATAAATGCTTGACACGTGTCAATCTTTCAGCAGTCTGCAAAGGCCCATTTCCTTTGCAGACACGTGTCTCTTATACCCTTATTGAGGTACAGTTCTCCCTTACTATAAATAGTAAGGGTAGACCTCATTTATGAGGGACGGACATTAATTGCAACCACAACAAACCAAACAAAGCCAAAACCTACTGAAACGCTCTCGAACCGAGAAGCTTTTACAGTTCTTATTCCACTTCGAAAAGATACTAACTTAATCTTCGGAGGCGGAACTCCCACCCCCCATCCGGAGTCTCTGTTACTTGTGCAGGTACAGGTGCAAGAAGGAAGTCGGCTAGGTGCAGGTACAGGCGTAAGAAGGAAGTCTGCTAGGAAATTGTAACTCTCCCGAAGGACACAGAAAACCCCCAAACAGTAACCGTTCTATATTTTGTTTCTATAATCTAGTTTTTGGTGTAGTGATGGTAGTTTTTAGTAAAAAATAAAATGGGTATTTATGAATTATGATAGGGTTTTATTTTAGGAAAATTTGTCAAAAATAACATCACCTTTGGGCGGTCTTCCAATAATAGCACCACCTTTTGATTATTCCAAAATAACACCACCTTTCACATGCATTTGCCAAAAATGAAACAAAAAACCGGTAACCTGTTTTATAGGTAACCTTGTGACACGTGTTCTAATTTGATTGGTCAATTTATTTATTTTTAATTTTGATTTTAAAAAAACTTTAAAATACTTTTAAAAAAACTTTAAAATACTTTTAAAAAAAACAAAAAAATTAAATAAAAAAAATTAAACCCCCCCCCCCTTCCAGCCCCTTTCATCGGCGTCCACCACCCCCACCAAGACCATCCACCTGAAACCCTCCTCTGCCCACCCCCTTGCATCGGCATCCACCACCCCCGCCAAGACCATCCACTTGAAACCACCCTCTCCTTGGCCCCTCCACTTCCCGACCCCATTTCCAGCACCCCTCCTCTTTACCGACCCATTTCCGGCCCTTCCTCCTCTTCCTCTTTCTGATTTCGGCCCCTCCCTCCTTCCCTTTTCAATTTCGGCTTTCCCTCCCTAATTTCTGTAGGCTAGGGTTTCGGGAAGGTGGTTTAGGGTCAGATTTAGGGTCGGGTTTGGTTTTCATGTTGTATAGCTATAGGTTTAAGGAGGGGGCCCCGATTTGCGGTGGCTGAAGGGGGTCGTATCCAAGAGGGGGAAGGGGAAGAGGGTTGTTCACAAGCAGTGTTGGGTTGTTTAAGGCAAGGGAATGGGTGGAGGGGTGTCGTTCAGGGGAAGGGGAAGGCAGGGGAGGTCGATCGGCGGCGAGGGTGGGGAGGGGGAGGGGTGGCAGTGAGGGTGGGGGCTGGGAAGGGGGGCTAGGTGGTGTTTTTTTTTTTTTTTTTTTTTTTTTAATTTTAATTTTAACTTTTTTTTATTACTTATGTTTTTTTAAAAAAATTGACCAATGAGATTGTGACACGTGTCACATGTAACCTGTAAATCAGGTTACCAACTGTGAAGCACGGACACGCCACCTAGCTGAGGTGTCCGTGTCGACACGCGTGTCCGACACCGACACGGGTGGGACACGGTGCGATACGTGTCCGACACTTCAAAATCCGTGTCCCTTTTTTTTAAAAAAAAATACGTCATGGACACAGACCGTGTCTCCCTATGACACGGCCCGTTTTATTTTGGACACGCCCTTTTGTTATTCCAGCCCAACTCCCTCAGTTTCTTTTTTCTCAAACCCTACTGCTTTCAATCTTCCTCTTCACGAGTTCATTCTACCTCAACCTTCTCAAACCCAAATCGCCGCCGACTGAAGTCGCCTGACCGTCGCCCACCGTCCACCGTCACAGCGTCAGTCGTCGGCTCGTCGCTCGTCGCAAGTCCTCAGTCATCACGAAACCTGGCCACTTTAATACTCTATTCCTTCAATCCTTTGTCGACTCGCCGTCAGCCCGTCACTCGTCGCTCGTCGCCGCCGTCCAGGCGTCACTCTCGTCGGTGCTCTCAGCCTTCTCACTTTCTCAGGTATTCCTCTCAATCTCTCATTCTCGTTTTAAATTTTTAATTTGATTTCATTCCTTCACGATTTGCTTAAATTGGCTAATTTCAGTAATTTGTATCATGGTTTTGTGGTTCAATTACTTCAATATTATGTTCTAGATTAAGGGATATGTAGTGTTTTATCTTTTTGGATAACTTTATGGTTTTCGTTTTTGTTATTTGTTTACCCCTTTTGAGTTTTGACCATTTTTGGGTTTAAAAACTTGCTTTCAGTTAGTCTAAACTTTTGTGCATTTTTGTGATTTTTGTGATCATTTAGTCTAAACTTTATGCTTGCCCTTCAACTGCTGCATTAGTGCATTGATATATATGTTGTGTATGTTAGTGCCCATTGTTTTGGAGAAATAATATGCATGTGGATACTGTATATATAAATGAAACAGTACTCTATATTTCTAACATTTACACTATAAACTTATACATATAACACATGTGCATTGTGTAATTTGATTGTGTTGTTTGAGCTAAACTATAAATGTTTGATTTGCTGAAAATGTGTTGTTGTCTTGTTGAAATTGTCAGGAATGTCTTCTAGTGGTTCTAGTGCCTCTGCTTCGTGCAATGTTAGTGGTAGTAGTAATTCATCTGAGTCTAAGAAGGACCCCTACCCTTTGTGGAAGTTTGTTGTTAAGGGTGATAAAATATCGGGTGGTGGAGGAAATTATAATTGGAAATGTAACTTACTCCTAAACGTGCTCAAGACTTGGTATACATTCATAACAACCTTCGATTACTTTCTAGGAGAAGTGAAGAATACACTAAGGGGAGATCTAAGTTGTGGGATGTGGGTGGAGATGAGCATGACAACCTAGGAGAGGTTGGTATTCTAGAGATGGCCGAGCTCTCACTTGATGAACCCGAGATGGAGAATATGATTTTTGATGATGTACTTGGTGATGGTGAAGAATGAAACTATTAGTACTTTTGTTTATTTTATTTATGATTTGTAAAACTATTATTAAGACATGTATTTGGTTTGATGGTTTCTTGATATGTATGAGACTACGTTCGTACACTTTGTTTATTTACTTGTTTTAACAAAATTGTGTGTTTTGAGGCTAATTATTTAGTGTTTTATTGAATAGGTTGTCAAATTCTCGTTTTTTTGATATATTATATGCCTTGTTATATGCCGTACCCGTGTCCCCTATTTCAGGATTGCCGTTTTCCCGTGTCCGTATCGTGTCCGTGTCCGTATCCGTGCAACATAGGTTACCAACCAGTTTTGTTTCATTTTTGGCAAATACATGTGAAAGGTGGTGTTATTCTGAAATAATCAAAAGGTGGTGCTATTATTGGAAGACTGCTCAAAGGTGATGTTATTTTTGACAAATTTTTCTTTATTCTATTTTATTTTATTTTTTTAATTGCATTTATTTTTGGTATAGATTTAGTTTAAATACTACATTCCTCCGTTTTTTCAGTTGACACCGTTTGACTTTTACACTATTCACGGACTACACTTTGACTCGCTTTTGTGACTTATATGTACGATAAAATATAATCATGTGTGTTCTTGTCTGAATCGTCCATATGTATATATGTATATTTTACTAATATCCACTTTATATAATTTTACAATGTTGATAATTGAAGTTATTAAGTTTTAAAATATGCGTTGACTAGCGTGATAATAAAAGGTGTCAACTAAAAAACAGATGAAGTTCTTTATGCTCCCTCCGTTTTAAAATACTTGCTCCACTTTCCTTTTTCGACCGTTTTTAAATACTTGATCCATTTCTTTATTTGGAAAAATTTTACAATATTTAATTAATTTCTCTTACCTAGTGGACCCACCACTAATCATATTTTATTAATTTCATGTTCTCGCTCCTCTAATTATCTCCACTACTTTTGCATTTTATAATCTTTTATTTTTCCACCTACCCCACTATCTTTATATATTATTAATTTCTTCAATTTCTTCTAAAACTCTATGCATTGAGAAATAAAAAGTATTTAAAACGGAGGGAGTTGAAAAAAAAAAAATGATTTTATTGATAAAAAAAAAAAAACCAATTATTGTGATACGGAAAAAGGAGTGATACATTGAAAAGAGAGAGAAGGGAATCGCAACTCGCAACTCATACTTTTTCACTACCAAGTATTTCTGATTTATTCTCCGGTACCTTGATTGGACCTCTATTGTTCATTCTTGTACAGATTCTCAATGGATGACCAAATTAATTAACAATGTCCATTTCTAACTCCTCAGGTTTTTTCTTTTCCCTTTTACATTTGCGTCATCTACTGATTTTAAACACCCATCTTGGAATTTCTTGTTAAAAAAAAAAAAACCATCTTAAAATCATTTATTTTTTTTTGAGATATGTGTTTTAAAAATTGGGAATTTTATCTTGAATTAAATGCAACATAATTGCAGATTCTGTAATGGACGTTGATGATAAGAAGAAACACAAATGGGGTTTGCCACCATTATCAACCATTGTTTATCACTTCGGTACAAGTGGGGTTTCTGTTGCCATTGCTACAACTGTTACTCATCCTTTAGGTTTCGAATCTCTCTCTTATATCATTAATTTATACAATATTCTTTTTGAAATGCTTTAATTTGTTTGGTTGCTTGGTTTATTCATTAATGAAATTTAATTTTGGTGATGGGAGTCTCATTTAGGTTTTAATTTTTAAATACATTGTTGTGGATTCTCATTGGTAGTTAAGATTTGGAATCGATTTGTAAAATATTAATTTGTAAAATGATGTTAGATTATGGTTTAAAAATATCATCTTTTTACTCTGTTTAGATTTTCTAAATAGATTATAGAAGATATATGGTTGATGTTGTGCATTGGCAAATCAAAGTGTTGCAACTACAAAATAGAGGTGGTTTAAATAGGTTTTGTTTATGGACTTAGGGTGATGACAGGAATATCCTATTTTCATGGCCATTGGAGATGCTTTGCCTATGGTTTTCAAATATACTACTTCGTAATTGCTTGATGTTACTTCTACATGCCTATATATGATGTTCATGTTTGGGGTAAGACATGGTTTTGAATTGTTATGTAGTGGGTAACTACAATGGGTGTATGGTCCTCTTAGCTAAACCCTCCATCCTTCTAATATTGTCCCATATTCCTATTTGGGATGTCCCATTGAGTCTTCCCTATTTCCTTAATAGTATATTTTCCCTACTCAACAATTAAAGTGCTTCACACCAAAAAAAAAAAAAAAAAATCCTCCCACATGCTTTGACTTAGCTCGTAGAAAGTGAAATATGGGATATAGTGCAATCTTAGTGGGACGAAAGAAATATTTTATTGTGTAATGTTTATGGGGTTTAGTTCTTAGCTTTCTTTGAATTACAAATGTGTGGTTTAGGTATCGGTAAATTGAAGGCTTGAGCTGGATTGATTACAAGAGTTGGCTTACCTAATACGTAGAACACTCGAATACGTGAAACGATTGCAAAATTCACAATGCGCTAGGTGGTACGATATGAACAATACACCCTAATAAATATATATATTTTTTTAAATACAAATTGTAGGGAGAATTGGTATGAAAGACTTACATCTGGAGTTCATGGAGAGGAGGGGAGTATTAGGTAACCCTGCAAAAGAAACATAGTGAAACAGGAAATCAAAAGAAGGAACCCTCTTTAAGTCTCTATGGTGTTTGGTTAGAGTAATAGAGACAAATAAACAAACCCACTCTAATTGATCTATTTTTACTCTCCACCACCCCTCCTTGTTAAATCCTATCTCTTTGCATTGGGATATCACAATAGGGTGAATACGCTAATTTGGGAGTGTTTATATGCAAAAGTATTGTGTATTAGAACGAAAGTATTAATATGGAATTCAGGGGTAGGGGGAGTATTAGACCATCTCCAATGGTGAGACTCAAATTTGAGTATTGAAATACAAAATGAGTTGTTTTTTTTTACTTTCAATGGTGATACCATACTCACTTCTTAATTTAGCAACTCATGTGAAGCCTAATTTCCCAATGGTGAGACTCACTAAAATATACAAATGTCACTTTCAATTTATGGCTCACCAAATTCATTTCTTTTTTAATATCAAATATTGTAAGATTAAAAAAAAGGGTAAAACTTAAATAAATTACAAAATATATTACAATATTGACAAGGGACCTACACTTTTGTCAAATGAGACTCAAAGTTGAGTATCTAAACTTAACAACTTTCTTTTGGAGTTGCTAAGGTTAGATACCAACTTATTGGTATACATTGCAAAAGATACTCTCTCTCTCCTAAAAATACTCACTTGAGTCTCACCATTGGAGAGGGTCTTAGGTAACCCTGTACCTCCCTAATATGAGGATTTAACATGATTAAAATGTTAATTGTTGACATGTGTTAGTCGATTGGTTATATGCATAGCTGATGATTAGAATTACATGGTATATTAGCAAAAAAGAAAATCAATTTAGAGAGAGAGAGAGAAATATTCAAGGAATAGTTCTTAAAGCATACATCCAGAGTGAAGATATAAAAATTAACTACCTCTTTGTTTAGTTTGATTGTAAATATAATCTTGGTAAACTGTCTTTTTCATTTAAATAATCTATATCAAACAAATATAAAGATGCTGAGTTTCACAAGACCTTTCCCGGCGTGCCTCCAAAACACATAGGAAACTTTGGATTGCTAAAAGGCAACTAAGTGATTAAGTTTCATATCCAACGCTTTAAAGCTAATTCCAATGAAATGTAATTATCTTGCAATGTAAAATACATGTCTGTTTCCTATCCAAATAACTCTTATGGAGCACTATTCTATTGAAATATACTGTTTAATATTTTTAAATTCATATTGAGTTTGTATAAAAATCTTCACGTGTATAGAAAATGATGAAGATTTCAAACTCTTTGATGTTGTATTTTGAAATTATTGTGTGAGAGATAATTGGAAGTGTCTGGTGGCCACATTGGACAGTCCGAAAGGGAAATAGCCTCTGTAGTGTATGGCAAATTACTACCTCCTTTCCTAAAAGACGTTCCCATTTACCTATTTTTATCAATAAATGTTTTGGGTATCAATATCATTAAAATCTTTAAAAGTTTGATACTAAATATCAAGACAATTCAAACAAAATTCCATAAGAGTATATTTTTCCCATATATTTATCGAGAGAGTCCAATATTTCATTTGTGTTGGAATCTATAAAGTTTTTAGATTGGAATAACTTTAAGGAATGGAATTCTGCTAAAGTTACTCAATTCTTAGTCTTGGATATTATTCCCCTATGAAATTTCTCAGGGGGATATTGTTATTCTGTAAGCAAGTAGTCATATTTGTATTCGCTAAAAGATTATCCACATGGATGGATTTGGGAGTGGTAAGCTGCAACATTAGGACCGTATGGAAAAGTCCATTCTCATCATGGTCGATCCACGTTCTACCCTAGTGCCCAGAAAACTGGGCTTTCTTAGCTTAGAAAGTTAGCTGCCCAAAAGCTCACTGCTAAAGCACAGATTCCACATTCTCAAAAAAAGAATTTCCCTGTCTTGCTGCAATACCAGTCTCGCCCTTTTCAACCACTCGAGAGTCGTTGGGTTCAGTCAGGGGAAACGGTTGTTTATCTTGTTTTAAGGACTTATAATAGTTCTTAATGGCTCTGATTGATGGGCTGGGTTATCATTGGAATGGGATTTTAGTTGTACTTTGAAGTAGTTATGTGACCATTCGCTCTGTTCATATACAATATGGAAGTGTGAGACCAAGATTCAATCTGCCAGCACTCTGAAGTCTGAATACCTTGATTCAATTCTTGCAGATGTTCTCAAAGTAAGGCTTCAAATGCAACTTGTTGGTCAGCGAGGACCTTTAACTGGATTGGTAAACATCTAGGTTTTTGAAGTTTTATGTACCTCCTAAACTTTAATTTTGTGACATTGAAGACCAGTTGAATTTTTTAGCCATTTTCAACCTCTGCAGGGACACATCTTCACCCAGATATTGAACAAAGAAGGATTTAGTGCATTGTACCTTGGATTGACACCTGCATTGACAAGGTCAGTTCTATATGGAGGATTACGTCTAGGTCTGTATGAACCTTCAAAGTATGTGTGTGAAGTGGCGTTTGAATCAACAAATTTGTTTGTAAAAATAGTTGCTGGAGGCTTTGCTGGTTCTTTTGCAACTGCAATGACTAATCCTACTGAAGTTCTGAAGGTGCTCACCTTGTACTCTCTCTCTGTGTATCTCTCTGTGCGAAAATGCCTTTTGTAATGAAGCAACTCTTTGAATCAGGTTCGCTTGCAAATGAACTCAGGAACGAAAGTTGGTGCTATTAGCCTAATGCGCAAAATTGCTTCAGAAGAGGGTATAACTGCTCTGTGGAAGGGTGTTGGTCCTGCTATGGCAAGAGCTGCTTCCTTGACTGCATCACAGCTAGCAACATATGATGAATCTAAGCGAGTAAGCATGCTATTTTCTCAACTGTTTAAACCTTTTAGATTGTCATAAGTAGACATCAATATTATAAAACATCTGATGATTGTTGTTCAGCTCCAAACATTCTTGCTTTATGATATTTGAAGTCATTGAATTACTATTTTCTTGCATTGCAGGCTTTGACAAGATGGGCCTCTGTTGAAGAAGGATTTTCTTTGCACCTCATGTATGCAGCAGTATTTCTTGCTTTACTAACTTACCTGGTGCATTATTTTCAGCTTTTATGGTTTGTCTCTTTTTAAAGCCCAAAATGTGATGAATGATATCTGGAAGTAGTCCTCTTGGTTTATGACTTCAGCACGTGGCTAATATTCTGCATTATCCATGATATGCACATATAAATTATTTCTCTTGCTTACAAGGTTACGGTTAATGTAATGCAGAGTATAGTTTGTGCTTAAATATAAATTATCCATGATATGCACATATAAATTATTTTTAATACAACTAATGAACTAACGCAGGACCATGAAGACCAATACGATGTAGCTTACAGGTTAGCTACACCTCATTAATGTAAATCTTTGACATCCCATGTGAATTTTTTCATTTCACCTTCATTTGCTAACTAAATTTCAGACTTAATAGTCAAAGAGTGTTGTGAAATTGCATTAGATGTCATGCCCCCTTTAAATAAATTATAGGCAAGGGTTTGATATTGTGGATTAAAATAGTGGGCCAAGAGAGTAGCTCTTTTATTAGAGTTTGTGAGTTGTCTACACTCTACAGGTTTTCTGGGACTGACTCTTTGTTTATTTACAATAGGTCAAGTACTATAGCTGGGGTTGCCAGCACTCTGGTCACGGCACCCATGGATATGATCAAAACCCGTCTAATGTCACAAAAGGAATCAAGTGGCAGGAATTATAAGAATGGACTACACTGTGCCTACCAGGTACTGAGATAGTCTTCATACTATATTTCAACTTGCTCATATGTTTTATATTCCTATTGATTTCAGTGACTGCTTATACCATTAAGGCTTGAACATTATGCCTTAATATAAGTGTTCAAGACTGAAACTTGTATGTGAATCTTAATTAAGAATCCAAGATATAATTGAAGCTTGGATTCTGTTGTTTCATGCATTAACAGGGAGTTGAATGCTATTTTCTTCCTCCGTATTTCCTAGCAAACTTATCACCCATGCTAAACTGACTGACTTGTTTTTTAGGTTTAGGTGTCACTCGTACTTATTGCCTTATTGGTCCTACACTTAAATTGGTCCTGTCTTCTCATCTTGGCACTATTTGCTTTTGATAACATGAGTTTTATTCTTGTACTTCTGACTAGGATGCTCATTTTGAGAGAGATTGTGTTAATTTTTTGCATCTCATTGCTATCAGCTGTCACAATCTGTAAATTAGTAGTGCTCCCGCCATTCCATTCGATTATAGGGTGCCTCAAAATTCTCTCTTTGTATTCACTTTTATCTTTTTTAATTTATATTTTACAAACTTTCTTTAATCACCTTGGATGCTGCCATATGCAAATTTGAAGTTAAATTTGAGACAGAAGTATTATAAATATGAAATTTTCAAAGAAGGCTTATTTTTAACTCTTGCTGTCATAACTTAATGACTTTGCATTTCTACCACAATTTGTACTTGCATGTTTTTTGTACAAAATTGTTACATTATCAGCTTTGAACTGGTAAATTTACCTAATATAGTAATTGGTATTCAGTTTCGTCATATCATTTCACTTGTTGCAGGTCATGCGCACTGAGGGTCCTCTTGCTCTTTACAAAGGGTGAGATTTCACATCTATATCTCTACCGATACTTGTCCTGTCCATTTTATCTCGTACTCTACAGTTATAAATGTAGCTGTCTGAGTAATGATAGCAGCTGGCTGAATGAAAATTTTGTTTCTTTTCTACACCAGGGGCTTTACAATTTTTGCACGGTTGGGTCCACAGACAACAATCACATTTGTACTTTGTGAGAAACTCCGGGAATTATCAGGACTCCGTGCCATTTAGTTCCGGCGAATTTCTGGCAGCGCTGTTAAAAGATAGATAAGACAAGATTCTTTTCCTCCATTCATTTTTGGTGATCTGAAGGGGGGAGTGACGATAACAGCACCCCTCGGTTTTGCATAATCTGATCACCATACATTCTTCTGATTATACATAGATTTCTTTTGTGTAAGGTTGGAAAATATTGTTTTAAATTATGACTTTGTATACATTTAGTTATTATTTCGTCAATTTGGATACTCAGCTTGTAATCAATTACTTTGGTGAGGGACATGAAGAGCAACTGTCATGATGAACTGTAATGTCCTGTTCAAGCAGGCTGTCTAACACCAATAAAGGGGTTGTTAAACGTCGCTCCCCTTTTACTAGGCATCGCTCGCATTTTTTTTAAGATTTTCCATTTTTACTCCTATCAAATAAATAGCCACGACTCACTTCACGGTACTCACAACTCTCGTACTTCACTCTCATACTCTCATTTTATTCTCTAAAAAAAATTAAGTAAAATCAGGAAAACAAAAAATTTGATTACAATAATAAATTTCATAAAATAATAATACTAATTACTATAATCACAAAATTAATACTAATCATAATAAAATAATAATAATAATAATAATAATAATAATAATAATAATAATAATAATAATAAAAAGATTACAATAGTAAATTTGATTAATTAATCAATTTAAGAAAAAAAAGAAAAAAAAAAGAAAAAAAAAACACTACATACATCCGCCCAAAACATTAGGATCCACCTTGGTGGATCCTAATTTTTTAAGTGGATCTACCTAGGTGGATCCACTTAAAATTTTCGGATCCACCAAGGAGGATCCGGAAATTTTAAGTGGATCCCTTTACGTGAATCCTAAAATTTTAGGCGGATGTTTTATTTCAATTTTTTTTAAAAAGTAAGACGACTTACGGAATCCTCCGACGAAGCTTTCGGTGTCCGAATATTGTCGACTTCCATCGTCCTAAACTTGTTGCTAATGCTTAATAATTTTTTTTTAAAAAAATAAACTTGGATTTTGGTGGTAGATCGAATGTGGTGGGCCGAGGTCGGATGTGGTAGTTTGGGATTTTTTTTTACCACGTGGTAGTAAGTGGAGGGGTCGGGAATGATATTATACCATTATGCACTACAATTTACACAAAGGGCAATATCGTCCTTTCATGTCAAAAAGGGAGCGTTAGTATGTAAAATGGGAGCGACGTTTAGCAGTTCAGTAGTATGAGGATTTAATAAAAGCAGTAGTTGCTAATCTGTTGGTATTTTCTTTCTTTATTTTGTTTTTTCTTTTCTTTTGGATGTACATTAGTTGAGTTTAGCTAATGAAGCGTTTAGTATGTGGGATTGAGAAGCGTTTAGTATGTGGGATTGAGAGTTAGAGAGTAGAAATAGTGAATTTTCTTTATGCAAACAAAACATCCTAAAAGTAATTTACTGCTGATTTGGTATTCATTTTGCTCATTTCAGAATATTCGAATGAGCAAAAACTGCCGAACTCTAAGAAAATAGAGATTGGAATTGAGATTGAAAACAATTCATATGTTAAATATCTAAATCTCGTGTTTGATAAGTTTTTTTTTTTTTTTTGAAAAGTTAGACCTTGTTTTATTCATCCTTTTTTTTTCTACATGATTCAGGATTAATCCACAATTTCTATGTTAATCCCAGGTGCATGATACTCCAGGTTTATAAAATCTAATATATCATATAATAACTAATATATAAAGCTAAACTTTTAGTCAGGCAACGAGACAGCGACACTAGGCGTTCTAAATTTTCGCCAAATGTCACGCCACGTTGGATAAATTTAATAAACTTTATAAGATAAATAAGTTAGTTTATAATTCTATTTTGATAGAATTTTAGGATAAAATTGTTAGTTTAGAGTTTTATTTACAATGAAATTCCAATATTTCAGAGGTTCAAATTGAATTATAATTTTGTTTAAAAAATTTCGAAAAAAATAACAAATCGTCACAAAAGCACATCAATTCCTAACTAATTTTGTATCAATGATATATTTTAAAATTCGACATACAGATTAAAATTTATTTTCAATAAACAACTCGGGCATCGCACAGGGCACAAAACTTGTATATATATATAAAGGGGAGTTTTTTCCCGAGTCTATAGAAAGCCACGTAGGATTTAATTTTTTCAGCGCGCCATGTAGGATAATAAATTTTAGTGGTAGCTAATCAAATACGAGATTGTTTATTTATTTTAGAATTAGATAATTTAAATGACACATATTTTAGAATTAAATAATTTAAATGACACGTAAGCAAAATTGACGAATGATATTTCGCAGTTTAAATTAATTAAATATAAATATTATCTTTTTATATCAGGAATTTTATCTAAATATACAACAAATTTTAGCACAAATATATATATATATATATATATATATAAATAAATTATTTTTAGAAATTCAAACAACCCGTGCATCGCACGGGCTTCATCTAGTTTGTGTTATTTTGATGTTAATTTATTATTATTTTAAGAGATTTTTTACTTTTGCTACCTCTAAAACACATGTATTTCACTTTTGCTAACTGGGAAAAAATTTATTTTATTTTACTACCATACAAATGCTGTTTTGTTAAAAATTACTACCAGTTAAAGATTTATGTTACTATTGACATTTGGGGAATATCACCGCCAGTATTTGCCTGTATAGTTTCTTTTGTCTATGAAAAGAACGCTCGATCTAGAGCACTTTAGTTGAAGATAATAACCCCACCTCAAACCAGCTACAATCCAACTTTAATGAAAGTACTTCCCACTCAACTCCACATGTTTCTGGCCATACTGAAACTACATCCAACCCAAACAAAACCTCCAAAGAGACAAATTGCTCAAATGTGACTTCTAGCCCACCACAAACCTAGAAAAAATCACAAACAACTATAGAACTTGTAGTGAGAAGGAGCCTAAGACTATGTAAAATGCCTAAAACAAAAGAGAACTGTAATGAGAACAAGGTGAAGAGAAGCCCTAGGTTTTCTACAACTATTGATAAGGGGAAGGATAAGGTGACCGAAGAAGATGGGAATGCTGGTGTGAGGCTTGCTAGGGGTAAAGGGAAAGGAACTGGGAAGGGAAGTAGGAAAAGTAAAGCAAGGAGGGCTCTACAGTTGGATGAAGAGGATGAATAAGAGTCTGGGTCATCCAGCTCTGATTCATCTGATCTAGAGATTGACTGGGATACAGTGATGATAATGAATGGCATATGCAAACTTCACAAGGCATTTTAGGTGAAGTAGATAGGAGTTTGGAGATTGTGAAACTTCACAGGAGTTAGTTGTGCAGAGGGAGGAGAAATTGAAACAATTGGTTAAGGACATTGGTTGTAAGGAACCTGATTTAAAAGATGAGGGCTCTGAATTAGATGAGCTTAGAAGTTTACATGGATCAGAGGAGGATGAAGAAGATAGTCCCTGGTTTCATGAAGATACTTGTAGACACCCAAATGTATCTCCGCAAAACCAAACCCAGTGATGAATACCGGCCTTTCACGTCATTTGGTTATTGAACAAAGTGAAAGTGTGAAAAGTCTAGTGATGAGGATGTTTTTATTAAAATATTTCTCTTTCTTTTTTCTAAAATATTTATTTTCTTACTCTATTTATGAAAAATAGCCACTCCAATTTGGTTTGGACCATGGTAAGGTCCAATAATAGTGTAGTTGGATTGGGCTCGAAAAGAGCTTTCCAATGATATATTATTAGCCCAATTCCGATGAATTATGAGGAAGTTATGTATTAAATTAAATTAGGCCCAATGATTTTAAATGTGGCCCAATGATCTAGAGGAGAGCCTATTAATAATTATTCCTAAAGTAATTAGGATTGATTTCAATCTTCTAGAGCTTTTAGGAATTTCTAGAAGGTTCTTTTTA